ATTGGACCATCCCAATTCTTTCGCAGAAATGCAATTTGCTCCCACGCATGCGGCTGACCATAGAATACCTGGGATATCCATGACTTGGATGCCCCCACAATGTCCTCTTCCACTGTCGAACCGGACTCTTTCTCAAATTTCGAGCGGAACACGGGATCCGTGAAACCGAGTGTGTTGCCGATGCCCCGTATGAACGGAACGTAGGCATTGTCTAGGTCCGCTGGTCGCCAAGCGAGCGACCAAGTGTCGAGCGTAACTACCAGGACGGAGAATCCATTGTCTTTGGCGCGTTTCAGCAATGATAGCGTGATATCATCGTCTCGCGGCCAGTAGAGTTGGAACCATCTTTTCCCGTCTCCGTTTGCCTGCCCGACCTCTTCAATCGAGCTGCTACTCGCGGTGCTGAGGATATACGGGATCCCGACATTCCCGCAAGCTTCTGCAAGGCCAGACTCCTTATCATCATGGAAAATAGACTGGACGCCGACCGGCGCCATAAGAAGAGGAGTTGGATATTGCTGGCCAAAAAGGTTTACCGCAAGGTTCTGATCATTCATCTACGCGGACACAACCATTGGTCAGCGCTGGGACTTGGAGGAACCGACTGAACTCTACTAACCGGCTTCAGCATCCTCGGGATTCTTTTCAGATCATCAAACGTTATGTGCGTTAGTCTCCTGATTCTACGTAGCAACATCGCGGCGGAGACGAATCAACTTACAGCTTCCATTGTCGAAAAGCCAGCCGATTGCTATCCATTGTAGCCTTCTCCCCAGCACCGCCAGCCACATAATTGAAGCTACGCTCGCCTAGGGCCTTCTTTGCCTGTGCTTCAAGTAAGCGAGGATCGGTGGTAACATTAGGCAAGACGCCTGTCAATGCTCCGCGGCCATAGATCTCAGTCTGATAGTCGCCGTAGTTTTCCGACATATTGCGCGTGAATATAGATGATATTGCTTTCCAAATTCGAAAATGATTACTTGGATGAACAGATGCTGACAGCAGAAGGGATAGCTCTATAATCAGCCCCCTCACGGATAGAGTTGTACCTCATGCAGCCGGCACGTGAACCAGCCATACCTCGGGATCCTGATCATTACCCGATACGGTGTGTTGCTGACGTCATGTCTGCCGGTTCCTAGATGCAAAGTACCTGATTTACTATGGATTGACCATGAAGAAAGAAACGTCAATTCGTCTTTGCTGTATCTACCGCTAAACCTCAAATAGAACAGCAAACAGCCACACACGCTGCCACATGTAGGGACAAGGCATCAATTCCACGTCGAAGCAATCTTGTAGATGTCAGCTCTAACATCCTCGGTAGTTCCACCAGTAGACAACAGATGGGCGTGAACCGCATCACTGCTAGGGAAGATCTGAGCCGTCAGGGTTGTCTCGCCCTGGCCGCCAAACACCTCGACGCTGGACCTATCGACGAAGATACTCAATTTCACTACACCAGTGCTATCCGGCGTCAGAGGTCCACGATAGACGCTCGCGAAGGTATTGTCGAATGACACGTCTCCGGAGTGTGTACGGTCAAGGAAGATTTGCTGCTTGGCGAAGTCATAGCCAACGAGGGTCTGCTCGGTGAAGTTGGCGGATGCTCGGAGGGCAATTGCAAATGTTGAGGCCTTAGACTTAGCAGAGAAACTCAAGTCCACTTTGAATGTCTCTCCGGTCGTGGTTGTGTTGGTGGAGCCTTCAGAGAGAGTCTTGAATGTGCGTGAATAGATCGGACGCTTGTTCGAGATAGAAGACCACGCTTCCTGGGGTTGCTGGACTAGGGTTGCTTTGCTGCCAATGGTCTTTAGGGCAATGTGGCGGGGAATGGCCATGGCGCTGCGCCAGGGGTAGGTGGGGATGTTCGCGCCATACTGCCAGTTGTTCATCCAGCCAATATGGACGTGGTCGTTCAGCGAGAGGCCATTGTAACCGGCTGCGGCATAAAAGTCCGGGCCCCAGTCCATCCAGTTTGCGGTGGAGTTTCCTGGGTATACTGTGTCGGCGTCAGGCGTAAAAGTGGTTCCGTCGAACTCTCCCACGAAGTACTGGGTTCCGGAGCCGACAGTGCCTGGGGGTCCACCAGGGTTCAGTCCGCTTGTGATGACCCATTTTGTGGAGATTCCGCCGTCAAGAGGGAGCTTGACAAGTCCGGGACACTCCCACACTCCGCCTTGCGCGTTGTAAGGACCGAACTCGCTCACTAGCTTCCAGTCTTTGAGGTTGTCGGAAGTGTAGATCGCGAGTTTGTGCAGCTCGGCTATGCTCGTGACAACCACCCATTTCTGGGATTCGTCGTGCCAGAACACAAAGGGGTCCCGGAAGTTCTGGTATTCAGCTTCATAAGGGCTGGGAGGGTTGGGGATGACTGGATTGGCGGCATCGTATGTCGTCCATGTTAGACCATCGTCAAGACTGTAGGCGATGGACTGTGATTGCTGGTCTTCTTGGACGGTTTGGCCACTCGGCAATGTTTGCGCAACGGGGTACTAGGATGCTACTGTTAGTGATATGCACGCTAGAAATGGTCTGGGAATGGGTAGGTACATAGGAAGTATACATGGCGACTAGGGGTGTCTTGCCGTCCTTTCCAAAGCCACTCGTGTTGTTGACATCGGCAACAGCACTTCCGCTGAAGTACATCTCGGTGACATCGCTGCCAAATCCTCGGGCCAGAAGGGCAACAGGCTTCTCCTCCCAGTGGGTGAGATCCTCACTGATAGCATGCCCCCATGATATGTTTCCCCACTCGATGCCACCAGGGTTGTACTGGAAGAACAGATGGTAGATTCCATTGTGGTATAAGAGCCCGTTGGGGTCATTCATCCAGTTCTTCTGGGGTGAGAAATGGTATTGACCACGATAAGGCTGGTCATAGTTGAAGGCATGTGTAATGCCCATGAACATAAAAACACTTAGGACCTTCGACAGAGGAGCCATTGCTAACGAACCCTTTGAGAAAACTGCGCTGTGACTGAGGATTGTTTCTGGGAATTCAGGCATAGAAGGACCGGGTTTATATGTGCGCCAGTGGACTCCGAGTCTGTCGTTGAATGGAGTGGGGTCCTGCAATAATGTGCCCAGATATACAAACCTTCTACTACATCCTGACGCCGAACTGAGTTTTAATGCCTCATCCACTTCGTATCTGACCTATATCTTTTGTAAACCCATATCGGCTTCCTCTTTTTTTACTTGAATTCGGATTTGCTCTCCCTTTTCGTCCACAGATATGCTGTCTCGGTGACTCGGCTGTACTTGCGCGATCGGCATCGGTTGTACATCACAAATCCGGGGTGTGTCATTCAAGGATGTATGCATTTCCCCGCGTGGGGTGTTGTTGACATTGTACCACGGACCACACTCGGGATTGAGCGGATGCGTACTCCTTGACCGAGAATATCGGCCCACCGGTCTACGCTTCCTCGGCGAAATTTCAATTTTTGCTCGGTGAAATTGACTAGATACTGCGGAGTATGGCATCGGTATACCCCTGGAGCCCACTCCACAATCCGTTCAATTGGCCCCGGACTGCGGGGCTTTGCCGAGTGCGGAGAAACATCGGGGACAGCATTGGTAAAGCCCAATCGGAATCGTCAGAGTAAGCCGGTGTAGGTATTGCAAAACTGAGAACTTTCAAGCGAAGACCCTTGCATGAAGGAGTTGCTGTTCGTATATTCGTATAGGTAGTCGTAAGAGGGGTCTCATAGCGGGGCTGGAGTCCTAGGCTTCTGTGGATGGAGATGGAAGCACTCCCCCCATGAGTCTCATCAGCAGACAAGTAGTTGGTCGAGCATGAACATTGAAAATAACCTGCAGAAAAGGCACTTTACTTGGCCATATTAGGTTTCTGATATCCTCTTCGCAAGGAGATAGACAAAGAGTCTTCCGTTTCTCTCGAGTGTTATATCACAACTAGTCCTAAAGACAATCCTCTCCGAACGAGATAAGTAGTGATTGCGCTTGACCAATTCTTACCCCACTCCCCATAATTACCGGCACTAAGCCTGCAGAAAGGTGGCTGGGTCAGGAAAGAGGCCGAATAATCGCGCACAGTGTTGGCACCTAGACACTAGGAATTTAGTTGGTCAATAGGCCCAAAGTATGTCATCCCTCTACTGATGGGATTATGGAGGGCTTTCGATGGGATGATTGCTTTTCCATAATACCTAAAGCATTTATCCCTGTTCACACGTGTGTGGGGGGTTGGACGAAGTTGAGACGTTGTTTGTGACGTCGCATACGTTGAAAAGACGATATGTGGGTGCCTGGGGCACAACTGACCAGGATGTTTCTGGAGGGAAACGGGGAAAGGGGCATTCTCGGTGCCGGGAGGGCGTCGGGACACCACCTCGACAACCGAATGATGGTGCTTCCAAGAATCAGTGACCGTTGTCCCTTTTAATCACCATGCATAGAGTACGGTCAAGGTCCCTGAAGGTTACCTTCCTTGCTTCAAAATCTGCATGTAGAAGCCTCTCGTTGACGTGTCGCGGTATGCTCCACATAGAACTCCTCCAGCAGTCCGGTCTGATGACCATCGCTACATTCAGGAAAGCCTATCCAACACGAGCAGCTGTTTGAATATACAAATGGTCGGTTCCTAGTCAATGAGAAGCATGAGATGTCAAAACGATATGCCAAATTTGATCTGGATGCTCTTTGTGCCCTTGTTTCGGCGCTGCCCCATGTTTCTTCACCCATCTCTAGGATCGACAAGATGGAGGGAGGGTTTAACAAGGTCTTGTTAATGACTGCAGAGAATGGAAAGGAGGTTATCGCGAAACTTCCATGCCCTAGGGTTGTTCCACCACAACATAGCACTGCATCCGAAGCAGCCGTCATGGAATACGGTATTGTCGACTTCCTTCATCTCGAAGACTAAATAAGCTGACCTACTTCTATCAGTGAGATCCCATACCTCTGTCCCAGTGTGTAGGGTACTGGGCTGGAGCTCTGAAGCCTCGAATCCAGTTGGGTCCGAGTATATCCTGATGGAAAGGGCCTGCGGAAGACAGTTGGTCGATGTATGGGGCGAAATGAATCAGCTGCAACAGTTCAGGCTTGTTCAATGTCTGGTCCAGCTTCAAAGCCAGCTGGCAGCTTTGGAGTTTCCAGCCTACGTAAATATGTACTTTCTTCCTTCAGACGCTCAGAATTCGGACCTAATTGTTCCAATGAACGACGACTACTGTGTCGGCCCAGCATATAATGCTTCGTACTCTCCACAGCTGAGTGAAAGAGCTTACGCAGGTCCATGTATGTTATCGGCCTGCCATCAGAGCATCATTCTAACTATGCAATTACTTAGGGCAGGGACTCTCAGATCTTGGCCTTGGATTGGTCGAACGGGGTCTTGCGCACTTACAACATACGTCGCTCGCCCCTCGTACGCCCCATTTCGGCACCAAATCTGAACACTTCGATATCCTTACGATGGCTAAGAAGCTAATACCACACTTGGGCGCATTTGCACCTCTACAACAGTCTGCCAAGCCTACATTGTGGCATACTGATCTTCACATGGGTAACATATTCGTCTCTGAACAGGACCCGACAGCTATAGTCAATGTCATTGATTGGCAATTCACCTCAATTATGCCTGCTTTCATGCAAATTCAGTGGCCCTCTTTTCTTGCCCCACCTGATGGCTACGAACTCGGTGCGGTCAAGCCGAAATTACCTTCAAATTTTGAAGACATGGATACAGACGAAAAGGCCTTTGCTATCAGCGAGAGAGAACTAGCTCTGCTTTCGAAATGCTACGAAGCATCTCTGGTCAAAAATCACATGGAATCGTACTTGGCTATGTCTCAAGTTGACTCTGCTATCAGGCACCTATTCATGTTCGCAGAAAACACGACCAAGAATGGGATACTTCCCCTCCGTGATTGCCTCACTCAGCTTGCTGCAAACTGGAACGAGATGGGCATTGCTGAGCAATGTCCTTATCATATCACAAGTGAGGATTTATCGAAACATAAGATGGAGCTTTCCCGGTACAAGGACTGGCAGAAACTCAAAGGTTACACACAGGAACTGCTGCAGACAGATGATGAAGGTTGGATTTCCCCTCAGCTTGACTTCGAGAAGGTCCAGACAACACATGCCGAGCTCTTCCAGCTATATATCGAGAAAGAAACCGAAGATATATCTGAGGAAGAGGCAAGAAGGCTTTGGTTCTACTTAGAGAACACCTAGAAAAGCTCAACCCGTTTTTTCCTCTCCCTGATTGTCAAGAGAGATGATTGTAAGCTTGAGACTGCATGCCAGCTTCCCATAACGCGGTAAGATCGCGATCAATCGATGTAATGCACTGCTATCTGTGTTTCGTTCGCTATACTTATAGCGGCTCTATTGACCCGAATCCGCGCTACATTGTTATGTCAGCTACGGGTATTCGTGGAAGTTATGACCTGCTTAGCATCATTCATAGCACTTTGTACATGCAGATGCCTCTTCGGGAGGCCCGTGTGACTCCATTGAGCAGCCACTTTGAACCTTCCCCTGGTGATGCATTTCCTTTTCACCGTTCATTTCTATTTGCGTAGCAAACAGGCACTATCATGGGATCAATGAACCTGGGGGCAGTCATCATTGTGAAGTCAGCCATTGCTCTTCTGACCCACAACCTGATGGGCTAGTTTCGTGGTTGACTGTTTGCATTAAACTATATCCCCAGATTTCTTCTTCATGTTTGGCTATGAGTAGATCCGCTCTGTTGGTGTGTCGTGTTTGCACATGATAGAGTTTCTCGTCATCCCCGCGCCTTGTTTTCAACATGATCTGCATCCGGATGAGTGCAACGGCGGAGATATATCCGCACAGTCTCGGTGGCTGGCAACGACGGACTCCCCGAATGGGTATTTTGTGGCGAAGTAAATCCCATCATACTCCTAGTATTGTATCTCGAGCCACTGATTTTGAGCGTATTTCAAGTAAGGTTGTGGGTTTGCAGGTGGAAAGGCCCGCGAAGACTAAAGTCAAAACCCAACCGGGCTGGAACCTTGGCGAATCTTGGCCACCCACCAGATCGCCACCATTTTCTGCTTCAATAATCCCCCACCTCACCTCCATCGTGATCAGTAATTCTGGGTTGGTACAGTGTGTGTCTCTTGATTATCATGTGCATCATGGATCTACTTAGATCTTGAAACATCGATCTACTGCATTGTCCTCGGGAAGTTGGGACCAAATCTCGGCCCGTGTGCAGTTCCTTTACAAGGTTGGATGACGAAATAGACTCCGACAGCAAAGATGGAATACCAAGAAGAACAGAAGCCTGATCCTAGATCTCCAACTCAGTATGGAGGCTCCATGGATGGCGGTGATAGCAATGACTCGGCTCTCTCATTACTGGATGAGAAACGAGAGAAGCATTTGATTCGCAAGATTGACCTACATATCATTCCTTTTGTCGTTCTTTTATATCTGTTTAGCTTTCTTGATAGAGGTATGTCTTCCTGTACATGTTACTTCGCAAGCCTACTTCCAGTTCATGACTACTCGAATGATAGGCATGCTTGCTAACAAGCCCTAGTCAACATTGGCAATGCCCGTCTATATGGGATGGAAGAAGATCTGGGCCTGGTCGGAGATCAATACCAGATTGCAGTATCTATTCTGTTTGTAACTTACTGTGTATGTCTGGATTTGCACATATGTGTGGCTCTCACGCAACATCTGATACTGTATAGCTCTTCGAAGTGCCGTCAAACTTGGTTATCAAGAAGCTCAGGCCATCACGCTACATTGCGTCGATATCGGTTATTTGGGGCATCATAGCGACTCTCACTGGAATAACCCAGAATTATGGAGGCCTCATCGCTTGTCGCATCCTTCTAGGTTAGTCACAGACCATAACTTGGTGATGTGAGCCCGAGCTAACAGATATAGGCGTCGTGGAAGCCGGACTGTTTCCTGGAATGGTTACCTATCTCACTATTTTCTATAGCAAGCGTGAAATAGCATTGCGCACAGGCTACCTATTCAGCAGTGCGGCCGCTGCCGGCGCATTTGGCGGACTTCTAGCTTACGGCATCGGCTTCATGGACGGCGTCGCCGGTCTACGAGGTTGGAGATGGATCATGATCATAGAAGGCATTCCAACCGTCATACTCGGCGGCCTATCCTGGTTCTTTCTTGCGGATGACCTCGATACAGCCTATTACCTGGATGATGAGGAGAAGGCCCTAGTGGTTCGACTCCGTCGTCGCGACGTGGGCCAAACATCGTCCGCCCAAAAATTCCACTGGGCAGACGTCAAAGAAGGTGCACTGGACTGGAGAATTTACGCCTTCTGCATTGCTCAATTTGGTGTCGACACTATGCTATACGGGTACAGCACCTTCCTCCCAACCATTATCCAGGGTATGGGGTCATGGACAACTCCCGAAGTGCAAGCTCTTACGATTCCTTGCTATGCGGTGGGCGCAATAAGTTATCTGATAATTGCTTGGGCGAGCGATAGAATTCAGCGTCGCGGAGTTTTTACTTGCATCTTTGCGGCAATATCAGTGGTTGGCTATGGAATCCTGATATCGGATTCTTCGTCAGGAGTACACTACTTCGGCGCCTTGCTTATTGCCTTAGGATTATATGTGGCTGTCGGATTACCTCTCGCATGGCTCCCGACCACTCTTCCTCGTTATGGAAAGCGTACATTCGCCACGGGGCTGCAACTGACTTTCGGCAACGTCAGCGGCGTCATGTCTCCTTTCTTATACAAGACGAATGAAGCACCGCGTTATGTTCGGGGCAATGCAGTGACTCTGTCGCTGGTTGGATTTGCCGGTGTTGTGTATGGTCTTATGTGGTGGTACTATCATGGGAAGAATAAGCGCAGAGAACAGGGACTGGAAGATGAAAAGATTGTAGGGATGTCAGAAGAAGAAATTGAGGAAATGGGAGACAGAAATCCTCGGTTTAAATATAGTACCTGATATGTTGCGCAGATCTCCAAAATGCGAGCAAATCTCGGTGTTGCCATGGCTGTGGGACACACCAGACGAACGTCCTCTGTTTCTTGGCATTGATTAGCCGTCTGTCGATCATCTCGATTAGCCTGTAATCCATCCTTTTTTCAGATCTCAATGTCATCTAAATGCATCTGCCCATGACGTCGAGGGTCCGTGTTCACCATGGTTCACGTGCTCTCGCTTAGCTCTTTGATATTATCTTTCTTCACTGCGGTGGCAGGAATTTTCTATTATAATCATAGTCTGTCGCGCAGTACGAATTGTCGTGACTCTGTCTTCTCGTCAGCTTTTGGTGCAAGTTGGAGGGCCTGGATTCAAAGCCCATGTATAGAGCAACATAATGACTGGAATCTTTACCAACACCTTGGCGGATATGGGCCCTGGGTCGAGAAAACTGCCGAAGACGATGAAATACAGGGGAATGACGTACCGGACAGTTGCACAGTCGACCAGATACACATGGTACTTTTTCTCTCTGTTAATCCAAGATGCCATTTCGCTAATCGACGATTAGATGTCGCGTCATGCGGCGAGGTATCCAACCAGGTCTGCAGGAAACCGTAGGCGATCTGCCATCAGGAGAGTCTCTGAATAATACTAACGAGACATTTCACCGTGGCTACAGGCCATCTTGCCCTTTTGGATAGAATCCATAAAGCAGGGATTCCGCTGAACGGCTCATTGTCATTCCTGAACAACTGGACCTACATCACCAGTAATCCAGAACGAGACTTCGAGCAATTGACCACAACCGGTCCATACGCTGGCACTCATCAGGCCTTCGAGACTGGAGTCCGATTCGCAGCCCATTACGGACACCTCATCCCTTCTGATGCGAACACAAAGTTCTGGGCAAGTGATTCCAAGCGCGTCATCGAAACAGCCCAACACTTTGCCTCGGGGTTATTTGGGTCTGACTGGGAAAAGGTCGGAAAGGCCGCTCTAGAGATCATCCCGGAGACATTTGATCGCCGCGCAGATACGCTCACACCGGGAGATACCTGTCTAAAATATCTAGAAGACGAAGTTCGCGGCCATGACAACGGCATCAACATGCTCACTTTGTTTCAGCAAGCGTATATCCCGGCTATTGCGGAGCGACTGCTCGTTGAGGAGGGCAACCGTGAGCTTGAGGGTTTCACCAACTGGGAGATCTTCAGCATGCAGGAAATGTGTGGTTTTGAAACGACTGTACGGGGCTCGAGTCCCTGGTGCGATGTCTTCACGCGCGAAGATTGGAAGAATTTTGAATACGGACGTGATTTGGTGCATTACTATCGCGGAGGCCCTGGAAATCCTTACGCGGGCGCAATGGGCTGGCTTTGGCTGAATGCCACAGCGAATCTTTTGCGAGAGGGGCCCAAGGCGGGTTCAATGTTCTTCAGCTTGTGAGTGACTCGAAATCAAACCAAGGGAGCTGAGACCCAAGAGTCTAACGTGTGTTCCAGTGTCCACGACGGGGATATAGCGCCTTTCTTGACTGCGCTAGACATAATGAAAGACGCAAAGTACGACCCATTTCTTCCTGTCACACATCGGGCAGAAGACCGCATTTGGTATACCTCAACTGTGATGCCAATGGGCGGTCGGGTCACGCTCGAACGGATGACCTGTTCGCCAACAGATCCTGTCCACAGCATGAACGAGACATTTCTCCGGATCGACATCAACGGCAAGATTGTGCCGCTGCCATACTGTAAGTCTGGACCTGACTTGTCTTGTCCGTTAATGGAGTTCATCGGTCATGTGGATAGAAGAAGGATTGAAGTAGGAGAGTTCGGGGATGTATGTGGTTTGGATGGTGATGTTGGAAGAATTACATTTCTTCGGCAACAGCAACTTGAATAGAGATTCGAGGTATGTCATCTAAGTGTTATAGGAGGCATCTTTGACATAGTTGCTGGTAGTCTGTGGAACATGCTTTGTTCAGGAATGCTGGCCTACGCAGATTTGCCGCATGAGCTGAGGTTACTTAACATTTCTTCGATAGGAAGGACTGTTTCATCAGGCGCTATCTCCTAGGGTTATTACCTGGGTGATTATAAGACGAGATGCGCTCAGGACAGGCATAAATCATGATGGACTATCATTAAACTGAAATTAGTAAGGTTTAACATATTGAGCTACTAGTAATAGTATCTACTGGTATATATTGTACGGGGCCGGATGGGTGAAAAAATAGGATTGACAACAACTTCGTTGGACGGGTACCGTTCAGGCCGTACTAGTGCTAGAAACATATAGACTAGCTAATGAAGGACCTTTCGGTATATCTATTGAGGCCCAGACTATATGTTAACTAGATATAAATGATATGATTAGTTGGGGTAAAGCGACTGGAAGCGGTCAAGATCCGCCGTCCATACCGCAGCGACTCACGTGACGGTATCCGGGCTAACACTTACTGTTTGTTGCGCCCAAAACTTTTGGACGGAAATCAGCTTCCATCCAACGGATCCTTTCATAAGGCCGCTTCTTCTCATCCAAACGTCACCTATTATCCTCCTTACTTTACAGGATAATTCCAGTCCCGGAAATCCGCTTTTTTGCCTGCATCTAGTATATCAGCAGCGATCCACATTATTTTCCGAAATGGAGTACCACTTCGTTCCTCCGGAGGAGCGCGCCAGAGACGAGAAGGGTAACCTCCTACCCTGGGGCTACGTTTACAAAGAGTAAGTCTTACACCATTTCGTCCTTTCCCCCAAAACAACTTCAACTCAATCTCACCCATCGTCTTTCCAGTGAATCTCGCAACCCTCGTCGACCCCCCGAAGAATCTGGCCCATTTGGCAAGCGCAGAAACGCCCGCTATGAACACACCCGATCTCGCACACGCACCGGCACACCGGCAGCGAAGCGCGAAAACCCCAATGTAGCAGAATTCGGGCGTCTATTCGCCCAACAACAAGAAGAGGAGAAAGCGCGCAGCAACACCCTGCCCAAGTCATCCTCCGCTTCCAACCTCGACAACGCCCGGAAGCAGCAGACAGAGAAAGTCGCAACCGAGTGCATACTATACGGTTACAAGAGCAAGGACTTCGAATGGAAAGTGATAGACAAGTACGAGCGGATCTCTCGCGGGTTCATCTGTGAGGACTATCCGCGGACCGACCCCAATGCTTTGAACGGGTATTCGCAGCTCCTGAGCGGCGGTGATGTGGTCATCCGGGCGAACTTATCAGCGGACGCGAATCGCAAATCGAAGCGCTATGCGGGCGGATTTCACTGGATTAAAGTCACATTTGATTCGACGACAGCCGCCGATCGCGCGTGCTTCTACTCTCCGCAGGAAATCGATGGCCATTTGGTCTTTTGTGAGCTGTATCATGGCCAGGGACCTGCGGAGGATGCCCCTATCGTACAAGGATCTACGGAGGCAACTCGTCTCCAGTCGAAGGCGGCGCCTCGCACTTTGACTTCGTCGCATTCGACGAGTTTCCTCCAACCGAAGGACACAGCCACCAAGGAACGCCATACACTGCCGAGATCTTTCGCCTCGAATAACCTGTCCAGTATCCTCGACGCCCATGAAGAAGAGTCCCAGGAATCATCATCGACCCCCACCGCTAGCTCCGCAACAGCCACCGCCATCGAGCAACCAGCACCCCTGCAGCAGCGCACAGTCGTCAAGGAGCCCAAGCCCGAATCAGACTTCATGACGCATATCCCGACGGTGCGTCGGACGAAGCTCCGACCCATTACAGAAGCCCTTCCCCCTCAGCCTACGGTTACAGAGCGAGTGCTGCGCTCCATCCCTATTCTCAGCTGGTTCACAGGTGACATTGTGGGCGATGGACCTCAACTCCGCGAAGACGGGACATTCGATTTCGACAAGTCGAACACCTACTGGAAATTCTGGTACATGGTTGATAGAGTCCTGGGGACAGATATCTGTGGACTGAAGGAGGAGGCATGACATCTCACATCTATCCCTTTCACTCCTATTTGCTATATATCAATGGAACAAAGACTCCTTGAGAAGAGCAGGGGAGAAAAAAAACGAGGACAAGAGAAAAAAAAATCGACCACACGCGCCGATTGCCCAAGTCCAGTCCCGTGGAACCAAACGGTGCCCTCGTTTTCTCCTAGCAGATACCCTGATGCATGTACGATAGTGCTTTGCTTCTTTTCCCGTGTTTGTCAACGATGATGCTTTTGATTGTTGACAGTTTTCCTTTTACGAAGAGTGTGTGGTTTGTGGCGCTGCATTGTCAGCTTGTGTCTTTTTATTATTTCGAACTTCTTTTTTACTTTGCATATTAAGTGTCTGGCGCTGGGTATATGGTCATTCATTTCATTGTTGGGCTGCATAGAGATGCGATGGAGAAAATAATCATAGCATGTTTAGTTTGGGGTTGTTATCTTTTCCTTGTAAGTCACATATTCAAATATGTGTGTGTGTGTGTGTCATTGGAGTAGACGTGCGCATCCTATCATCATCATTTATACATCATGAGCCATCATCATCAGAACACAACATGGTAAACACAGTAAGAGAACAAGCACCCCCACCCCCACCATAAATAAGATATGTCCTATACCCTCACCTCCCCACCCACGGGGCAACAAAGGATACGCTCAATGCATCACAACAGCCACATGATCATTCATATACTTTTTAATGTTTCCCAAGAAACAAGCAGCGATGATAGACACGCCCCCGAACCCAATACTAGCATAATACACCCACTTATAGCTCTCAGCGTAGGCGAGCTGACCGGCCGCCACGACGGCATTGTACGCAGTCTCGTTACCCGCGATGCCAGGGATGAGCTTTAATTCGTCGAGCAGAGACGCACCGGTCAGTTCGATCGCTTCGGCGATGTATGTGGTGTTGGTTATGTTGAGCTCGGTGAGCATGACGCCGCCGATGTAGTGTTGTGCGTTGGGGACGAATTTGGAGATGAAGATGTTGTAGTAGATTGTGTAGCCGATGCCGCCGCCGGCGACGCGGATGGAGAGGGTGAGGGCTGAGATGGTGGCGATGAGGTCCTGGAGATGGGTTTGTTAGTAGTCTATGGGGTGTATGTGGAGGGTTGGTGTTGTTTATAAGGGGGTAGGCTTACGTCTGGGCATATAATTGTTGTGATGATTGAGGCTGGGACGATTATGCCCCCGATTCCTAGGCCTGCGATGATTAGGATGCCCCAGAGTTGGTATAGGTTGTCTGGTCGGCCTATTGACATGGCACCGCAGCCTGGGTGGATGTTAGTCTTTTGTTCGTGCTCAAGGTTAAAGGGTTATACAGACCTGCTGTCATGAGGACACTGCTGATGATGAGTAGCTCCTTGTTGTGGCCATGCAAGACACTGAGGAGCCATAGGATGATACAAGCGCCTGCCATGATGCCGAGCCCGATGGGGAGACTCCGAATACCAACGTCGACGGGATCGTGACCATACACGTTGAATGACTGTGTGGGCCAGAACATGAGAACAGAGAAGAAGTTTGCTCCTGAGATGAACGTGATGACTAGGGTCAAGCCCAAAATGCGTGGCTCTTGCTTTAGTCGGCTTGGAAAGATGGGATACTTGGCACCATAAATCTCCCAAAATGCAAACACAACCAAGACTACAAAACCAAGAATCAGGGGAACCAGAACATGAGCGGATGTCCAGTCATACTGTTTATATGTCAGTCTTATTAGAACGACGTTTTTAAGACGGGAAATGGGAATCGAACCATATATCCACCCCACTGCAGTCCAGCCAAGAAGATGATAAGGCCGGAAATACTGAGGAACCCCCCAATGTAGTCTATGCGACTGATAATATCGGATCTCGTTAAGCCTTCTGAATTGACTCGTGGTGGCGGGAAGTAAAAGAGGGCTGTGATGAGCAACCCGAAACCACTCCATGCTCCGCAGAAAGCCCCGACATAGCGCCATCCGCTGTGCGCTGCAATAAGCTGAGCCCATAGCACAGATGGGCAAAAGGGCAAGATAGTGAAAATTAATACTGAGACATATTTTCCTCTCTGTCGAGTTGGTGCCATTTCTGAGGTGGCGGCTAATGCAGTCAACTCATTGATACCTGCACCTGCGCCCGCTATTGCCATCCCCGCTGTATGTTCGTTAGACCCCAATTCAGAGCAATTGATATGGCGGATAACATTATGTATACCTACCAATGAAAATGTTCATCGTATGTGCCGTACTGCTGACTACCATACCAAGGCAAACAAGGGAGGCTCCGATGAGGGCAACGTATCGACGACCGATCAAATCCGAAAGTGATCCGACAAAAGGGCAGACACCAGCAAGTGCCAGCAAGTTCGCCAGGACCTATGTCCATCCAGGGATTGTCAGCTTTTGGCCACCTTATTCCTTCTAGGGGGTACTCACAAACCAAACCCATCGATCCGCGCCGCCAATGTCTCCGTAGACGTAAGGTGGTATGCCTCCTGGAAGGCCATTAGAACGTTGATATCCGGCATACAGACGAGGATCTCACCGAAGAGATAGACTGGAATTTGGCTTCCAGTCCATAGGAACGCCATTGCTGTAAATCCCATGAACCGACGGAAGGTCATCTAGCATCCGACAGGGTTCACAGTCAGTTTCGCGTGTGTACCGCAAAGTCCACAACTGATCAGGCACATACTGGGTTGTCCACAGGCGCACCCATCTCTTCGTACGCAACAACCTCATCATGGCTAAATTTCCTCTCCATATTGCCGGTCGGAGGTGACTCTGCTACTGCCTTTTCATCAGTCTGCGACTGACTTGAGTGATCGGTGAGCTCCATGGGCGTTGGGAGAGCAGGCTGGAGCGAGTCCTATTGGCGCGCAGCGACAACAATCAAACAGAAGACTCGAGATTAGAAAAAAAGCAAATGCTCGCTGCAAGCCATGCATGTACTATTTATTTATTTCCTACAAGCACAGATCATCATAGTGGGTCTCTAATGATGCTGGCTTGTATAGATACTAGGGCGTGGATCCAGACCGTTTAAGGGTGACGACCCATGGAACCCAGCAGGATCTCAAATCCATCAAAGCGTCACCGGGGAGTGGACAGGCCGGAGATACTACCATTCTCAGACACAACCGAGGCAATTGAGCGAATGCAAGGGCGACCATTGGGCCCTGGATAGCCGAACGGGAGGATTGACCGCGTGGATGGGATGGGATGTGGAGGAGAGGAAAATGCGGGGGAAATCCTGGGGGAGAAGCAGGATCAGAAGGGCCCTGCAGTCGCTTGACGGACAGGCTGCCGCTCCACCAGGCGACAAGTCAACGACGTCGCTTCGGTCTCCCCGGTCTTCAAACAAGAAACTCTATTTTCTTCAACCTTTTCTAGGTTACTGGTGCATAGAATCTATGAGTAAAATGTCTATTAAATGTCCGTGCAGAAAAGAGGGGCAATGAATCAGAAGGGGTGTATGTACACGAGGATGAAAATTTGGATCCATTATCCTGGATGAAGAATAAAGTTCTCATGAGGGCCTCGCCAATAACAGTCTCCCAATGTGGCGAGAATGCTAACAAAGTCCAGCCAGGAATAGTCGTCCCTTGCACGACCCTGGCTAGGCAGGATACGGCTGCATGAATTCAAAGGCCCGTCCAGACCTATAGCACCTCTAGATCCTGGCGCAGCCTGGTCAATAGCGTTCTCCAACCTCTTGAAGCTTATAGGACTTGGGGACTACAAAGAGGGCGGAAGCCTCGATACACAACCGTCCCATGGGGTCGCGTACTTCTCCCTTCACCCATGCCTTGCGTTCTGTGCTCCGTTCCTCGTCCAGAGTAGCATGGAAGGTGTAGAAGTTACCCGAGTACACCGGTGCACGGTATTTGAGCTGTAGATTGGCCGTGACTCCAGTGCGTTGTGGAAGATGTCTGATTGCGACTCGGGCTAGATGCTCATCGATCACGGTCCCCAGAGCACCTCCATGAACAACCGTCGGCCATCCTTCTAATCCCGGTCCGACATATGCGACATTGATGGCCTCCTTCTCCTTATCATTGTAGAATATTCTCTATGTGACCACTTCGTCAGCCATGTGCCAGGTTTCACAAGAGTTCGTAGAGGCATCGGCATGCACTACAAGGCGTGAAACTAACCTGGAATGCTAGCCCTCGGCTGCCTCGTAAAGGACCCGAACTCAGCCTCTGTAATTTATCTTCCTCCGAATAATTGCCGTATACCTCAGCCTCTATATAGTCGGGGTTCTCTCGAAGTTCCTTCACGATGGGCAGCCCGTGTTCGTAGATGTAACGGATTTCTTCTAGTCTTTCGCGATCTTCCTCTGTATCGGGCAATGGCGGCGGTGCGAGCTTCCTATCCATCCACTTTCCGGCAGCAATCCCAAGGCTACCGAAAATCGCAATGTACGCCAGGCGTCGCGGCCACCGCGACGGTTGAGGTATCGGTTCATGGGCGGCAGTACTGGTGTTCCTCGAGGGACGAAGTGTGTATCGACATGGTAACAGCGGCTTGTTCCGGAGGAGGCGTAATTGCGACTGTAAGACTCTGCGCGAGGAAAACATGATGCTCACATTGCAGGTTTCATCAACGATGCAGCATTTTCCCAGAGCTCGACGAAGCAACCAGTGATTAGATAAGATAGGGGATCCCTCGGCTCTTGCTGCATTATCACGTGATTGGAAGATACGCTGTCGTCTAGATACAATCTACAGCTAGTGCTAGCTACAAGGCAGGTTATTATACTGATTGACTCAAAACCATCTTTGCAGTACTTTGTTTAGCAGAAACACATGTTCCTAACATTCAGCCATAAGCTCATTATCTATGCATACCGTTTCTAGCCTGATACTCGTGAGATAAAGTGAGGGCCCTGCTTAATTTGTCGTCGGCACCTCAACCGCCCGGTAGAGGAGAATAAGTGCGGAATGGGATTCACCTGGATATGAAGGTTAGACGTCCGTCCGCTATTCAAAATCAATTAACAATTGTGTCAGGGACTTACCACCACCAGCAAGAGTCTCAATCTTCTCCCCTTCCACTTCGGTAACCTTCTCATCATTGAACCACCACCACTTGTCTTCGGTGCTTGCGCCATCACCGCTGGGCTGCTTTTTCACGTACGCAGTGTAATGTCCGCTGTCCGCACTTGCACCTTGGTGGGTGATCACACCACGTAGTTCGTAAAGACCCGTCTTGTTCACACCACTGTCTGAGGCAAGACTCGGATCAATGAGCTCAGACAATTCTTTCTTGGCGGCAAGGATTGAGGCGGTCTTTTCAGCTTCGTAATCTGCATCGGACTTGAACACATCGGTCATGGCTTCATCCCCGTCTTTCTCCGCAGCCTTAGGTTCTCCCTTGCGCTCTTCAGCAGCTTTTTTCTTCTGCATCGGCTCCAAGCTTGAACCAGATTCGGCCTCTTTCTTTTCTTCCTCCTCTCTCCGGTGAGCAAGCTTTTGGCGCTTGCGGGCACGCTCGACATCCACCTCTTCCTTCCGAATCTCACGGACTTTGTCTCTCACGGGAATGAGCTGTTTCTTCAGTTCTTCGGTGCAGAAATCCACCGCATCAAGTTCAGCGGGGAATGTGACCTTTCGCATAATCTTGGCCTTCTTCTGTGTTTCGCGCTTCCAGAAGAACCGAACGAAATGAACCGTCAGGTACTTGGGCAAGCGCGCAATGCGTGAACGCTTGGTATATACGGCATCGCGGTCGAGAACAGAGGAGCGCTTTTCAATCTTCTCTTCGAGACCAGCCATAATACCGTCATGCAAATGGTTGGTCTCTTTACCGATATGACAATCAAGCTTGTAGAAAACGTCGGAGCTGTTAGTAGCTACTTCGCCAGCCTCCTTTGCGGCCTCCTCGTCGCACTCGGTGGTGGACTCAAACCCTCCAGCCATGTACTTGTCCACGAACGAAACCTCAGCGGCAGAGTCACCTTCACCCTCCTTCACGACCAGCTTGTTACGCAACTGACTCACGATCTGTGACCAGGCCTCTTCGGCATCCTGTTGGGCATAGCCATGTCCATTGCGATCCCTTTGAGCAAATTGGGGGAAAGCATTTCGCAGAGCATTGAGGAACATGAGCGGCGGGAAACCTTCTTGCGTCTCCGACATTTGCTTGAAGAGCTCTCGCAAAGAGGACGTGAGATCCATGGAAGCACCCAAGCCGCCAAGACCGAGACTACTGAGGTTTGAAAGGCTAGAGCCTCCAGAAGAGCCGCCAGAGGGTCGGTACTTGAGCAGCGCATCCTGAAGTTCGGGAACGCTCCGCAGTGTCTGTAGCGTTGAATTCAGGTAGCAAGTATTTCCAAGGTTCTGCAGACCTGCAGGCGTTGCACCCTCCGCTCTGGCAGCTTCAGCTTCAGTCATGTCCTCCAAAAACTTGACGACTTCCTTTGGTCTACCCAAGTCCCCAGCACCTTGGCCGCCCGACGGAGTGCCCATCATCATGAACGTTTGGCCGGGTTTGGCGTTGAGGGAGGACAATGGTGTGTCATCTTTGAGCTGGCCACCCTTGACTAGGATCTTCTGCCGCTCGGGTTCGACGCCAGTGAGAGAAAATAGCTGGTATTTGAGCGTTTCGCCGTTCAGGGAAGGGTCGAGCTCCACCTCGTAGCGTTTGCCCTGGTGCTTTACAACAACTGCGTCATGGGATCAGCGGAGAAGTAGCGAGATGGCTTGGAATAAAGCACATGGCCATGAAGATACTTACCAGGTATAGAAGCCATTGTGACTTGATTCAAGGGTCTATTCTGGATGCGATTGATACCTCCTCTGAGGTCTGGCGGTAGGATGCAGTTGCGTAAACAACGACTGCGTCAGTCATCGCCGGAGAAAGCGTGGGGCAAACGACGGCCGTACTACGGCGAACTATAGCAACCATTATGCAACTATACTCCTTCGAGACTTCACCGCTTTATTGCTTAGCAGGAGCTCACCCCTCTCTCCCCACTAACCACTACCTGTGGTAGCCCGGCAGGGTTAAAAGGCGCGCAGAACCTGGTATTTTAATTGACCATGGGATGTAGTTAGAGGCTGATTTCACTTGTATTATAGCTTTAATCATGTATGTCAGTCCATATAATAGAGACTATATCTACACTGGCTATGTAGAGTGACCTGGGCGCGTTAACTGATTCTGCCGGCAAAATACTGGAACCCCGATGCCATTTGCCGGTTGGCCGCTATCGTCCGCCGTACTACAGGCTACATCGCTGCCGGGCGGCGGGACGTTGCTCCTGACGCAGCTATTCAGGTACTTAGGTGACGCCCGCTCTGGTAGTTAAGGCTTTGAAACTCATTGGGAGGTTCTGACAATTTAATCGCGGATCCTCTGCTTGCTAACTGTGCCTTACTTGCATTTTAAACAATTATCTTCTCATCAAGCTCGCCAGCGACCTTCTACTCAGCACTCCGGGGCGCCGCCTATACGTCACAACCGCATTATGGTGATTATCAACCTTGTCCAGGGGTTCGATTCACAGACCAAGCTGACAGGACCAGTCTCAATCATTGCGTCCATACCTGTTGGCTGTTAGATCCTCGCTAACGGCAGCACTCGCGATATCGAACTTCGCTTCTCAAACCTCCGAAAGACAGTACGTTGGGCCGATTCCCACCCCCTCACCCTTATGGGTCAGATGAGGCTAATTCAGGTATCCGGACAGCAATGTTCCCGAAATTGAAGCCGCAACTTCTCCCGAATTACTTCTCAACCCCCTTACAATCTCCCGGAATGAGAACGAGAGGGTCCTTATCGAGCCCAGCGTGAACAGTGTCCGTGTCAGCATTCGCATCAAGCAGGCAGATGAGATAGAACATATCTTAGTCCACAAGTTCACTAGGTTCCTGACGCAGCGCGCGGAATCCTTCTTCATTCTACGGAGAAAGCCAGTGAAGGGTTATGACATCTCATTCCTTATTACGAACTTCCATACCGAACAGATGCTGAAACACAAGCTGGTGGACTTTATCATTCAATTGTATGTTTCATCTGCTTTGCCCATATATCGTTTGATAAATGAGAGGCTAACGACTTCTTCGTCTGATAGTATGGAGGAAGTGGACAAGGAAATCTCGGAAATGAAGCTTTTCGTATGTCCCCTTGTGTCTCTGATTGATGGAGGCTTCTGACCAACATTTCCTCTAGTTGAATGCCCGTGCCCGTTTCGTTGCCGAGTCGTTCCTGACACCGGTAAGTCGCCCTGGTTACCTCAGTTGAACCTGGCTGATAGGATTACAGTTCGATTAGATCGCCCCAGCTTCATGGTTGGCACATGACCTTGATCTTCCCTTCCTCTCAGGAACATATCGTGTACAGAAGTTTGATGCATGTTCCTTTCCGCAGTCGTCCATATTATATCTCGAAATCAAATTTGTAGCGACCATTTCATCCATTATAGGGAAATCCAGGCTGTATAGAGCCGAACACTCCGTTGTGTACGACTAAGTCTGAACAGGGCTGCCGTAGGTCTCAGCATAAATTACCTTCCTAGAACCCTCTGCTTGCCATGACAGTGCAGATGATCATATTTAGATGGGGGAGATTCATCTTCTGAGCTTCAACCGGGTCGACCCGTTGTTTGTTCTCTCTCGGTGCACGGTGTGTTCCATTTGCACACTAATACAGTAGCAAAGGCGGCAAATGCAAACGAGATTGACAGCATGAAAAGTAAGTTACCTTGTTCTTGCCTCTTCATCTCAACAGTGAACAGAGGATCCGCATCACACTGTACACTCGACGGGTCCCGGGGAATCTTATCAGGGACATGTGTTTCTTCTATTAACCAGACCCGCTGAGCACATGGCTCTTTGGATGGCCTTCACTCGGTCATTACATCTCTGTCGTTCATGGATGCCATTTAGATACCTTCCCCATTACCTGCACACAGTTCATCAGATGATACTTGAGTAACACCTCAAGTGAGTAACAGTCCTCACATACAAAGAGACCAGTGAATTAGAAGATGTGGCAGCGCGTGTAGGGTAACAAATAAAGACCCTCCTCCCCCCCCCCCAAGGATCTTCTTCTGAAATCATCTTACGACCTTCTCTCGCTGAGTTGTTTACGTTACCTTTCTCTCTGCTCACTTGCTTCTCATATTTCCCACCTACTCCCTCTTCCTCGCTCATCTTCATCTTCACCCTCACGTTTTCACTTTTTCTACTGCCATACAGACTCGAACATGGCGTTTTCCAGACAAGACCACCTTTCTCACAAGCTCAATATGCCTCCCTTTGGTAGGATCCCCATCAATCTTTCCAGACCTCAAGAGCCACAGTACAATTCTGTCGCTTTCAGAAATGTGTATTACGACCCTTTCCTAGGCTACGCCCCAAACCCATCTGATGATACCGTCTGTATTCCCTTTGCTACCAATCGCCTCACCCCGGTTCCTGTCCAACCAGGTCGGCTTGAACAACCAGGAGCGTCCTCCACTCTCTTGACCTCTTCTAGTATCCCTGCCATGAAAATCGGCAACAACAAGCCTGGACCCTACTTGAATCTTACAAGCTATCCCAACCCCATTAGCAGAGCTGCTCCGTCAAACGAGGTGCCATACGGGAGCTTAGTCCGCTATATGGAAGCCCCTACCTGGGGTGTTATGAAGATTTCGAACGTAAGTAACTGACTGACTCGTTCTTCAGCAAAGTCTACTAACCCTGGGCCAGATCCCCTACTCCATCACCAAGCAGGAGATCTTCCAGTTTGTTGGCAGACAAGCGCGGCTTGTTGCGGGCCACGCAGTCCACATAATTATGGAGCGTCCCACTGCTAAGACGATGGATTGTTTTGTAGAGTTCGATTCGACTGAAGACGCTGAAGAGACGGCGAACCGAATCAACCGCATCTATGAATGTGGACGTGCGCCTCGACTCGGCAATAGGCACGTTGAAGTTGAGATCAGCAACCAAGAGGACCTGCTGAAAGATTTGTTTCCACGTGCAAAGTGCATAAGCTGGGAAAATGGTACGCCTAAAGTCGTGGAGAATACTGACAGATATTCCACCGGCTTTACTGGCTTTTTTACCAGCGAAGAGATCATCGGCGCCATTCGTCACGCTGAAATGCCTCAACGTGTAAGCCCTTCAGCCGACTTCGTTTCAAAGCAGAGATGTCTAACAACTTCTTAGTCTCCATTCGGTGCCAAGTGTCCCCAGCGTACTTACGAATCTACCATAAGCACGCTCTATAAGGTAGGTATTGATTCCGATGAAAGTGATAGTATTCTGACAAGGGATAGTTTCCTTGGTATGCAACCGACATGTACACCGTGCATGACCGTAATCAGCTATTCGAATTGACAAACCGTCACATACGTTCTCTGGTGTCACGGATGGAAAAATCCAAGACCGTTGGGCTTGACCAACGTCTGCTCCGCGAGCTCCTCTACGCCGGTCTAAATTGCCCCGCATTCAATGAGCGTCAGAAATATACTCTTTGCATTCACGCCGGCGAGAAAAGCGAGATTCTCAAGCTGGGAGACATGAGCAAGTGGTTCCCCTTCGATACTCTGGTCTACCTGCCTGGCTTTGACTATGACACCTGCGCGGTATGTATCTCTTCAGAACTCTATTAGTCTGTCAATACTCTTCTTGGCGTGCCATCTAGTCATGCATTCTTCGCCCATTATTTCCTTTCACTGATAGTTGCAGCAGTTGTATGCCAGTGTGATCGCAAACGGTAGATTCGAAGGCGCCTGCCGCGAGTTTCCGAACAATTTCCCTGCTGACAATACCACTCTCATATCACCCTTCGGTCGCATTTGGTTTGAGTGGCCAACCGATGTCGCTAAGAATACTCTTTGGGTTGATGCCGTTAATCGTGAGACCAATGTGCTCAACTGCCTTCTTCAGAGCGGATCCATGGGAACAATCCACAGACCACTTTCAATGGCTAGTACCTCAAGCAGTGTTTCCCCCACCTCTCCAATCACTGATAAAAGTGTTCCCCGAAACGAGAATGTGTCCCGGGTCAACGTTTTGCAGGCCTCATCGCGTCGTGCCAGCGAATGCTGGAACAGCGGCAGCGGCAGCGCCCTTCTTGATACCGAAGGCATTTGGGGTCAGAAAGTATTCTTTAGCCCTCCAAAGAAATTCCGAGCTCCTAGCCACCGCATCACCCATTCATCGCCCAACTGTCTCAAAGATTTGAACCAGTGAGGTCCACCGTGGCAGGAGTAAGGATACCGGGGATATGCTGTGCTGAGCGTTTCTGAATAGGTACTGTCTTACCTGAATTGCCTTCTGGACAGAGTTCAGGATCTGCAGATTTTAGTTGTATTTCCATATCTTGGTATTGCGGCCCTGAATCAGAAGAGGAACCGTCATGTATTGAAGAGAAACGAAGAAACGATCATGACTAACGGAGTACATTGGTTTATGGAAATGGTTGGGTTTAGCGATTTAGTGCGATGTGAACTGGGACCACAACGGGCTTGCATCCCATTGGGGCCATTTTATGCTCGCCTTGCTCTGCTGTTTGCTTTGCTTTTCGAAGTCCATTTCTTCTATTGAAACAAATTCACATACAGCCAGGTGTTGACGGATTTTTCTTTCATTGAGCTACTAACGTGAAACTGAAACTGATGCCTTTCTTCTCGTTTCTTTGCATAATGTTTTCGAACTCATTCCTGTTGTATTCGATTTAAATAGCCAATAAAAACCCGAATCGGGAGCTCTAATTACTCCAGACTTGCTCCCGACAGATCCAAATCCGCGTCATCATCCTTCCTCTGATTTTGCGCCAGCTGCTTCCTCTTCAGTCCTTCTGCCCTCATCCTCTCCCTTCGTTTCTCCGGATCCTCCCAACCAGGGGGCTTAGACTTTCCTTTCGCTTTTGTGTGGTCCGTCGAACAAAGATCTAACAAATTCGCGCGGAATCTCTCCTTACGTTCAGAGTTCACAGCGAACCTTTCATTCGAGATAGCAACCAGCATCTCGAGAAACTCTTCTGTGACCAGACTGCGGATGATGGGTTCTCCATTGTCATCATTATCATCATCGGTTTCTTCACAATACCCGATGACAGACTCCAATGAGAGACCGGCAGAGCGCACGGCGACGATGGGGCTTGGGCCCTCAATGTCATTTGCCTCTAAGCAACGTAGACTTTGCAGTCCGCTCTCACGAAAGCCGGAGGTTGAAGCGGCAGATAGCACGGGGTGAGCGTGGTGTAATGTGGCCGTCATAATATGGAGGATCTGTTGGAAGAGTTTGTCAGTAAATGAGCATTGATGAACAAGGTACGTGCTGTTTTGTATGGAACGCAAGTCTCCATAGCTTACAGGGCAAACCGGAGGTTGGCAGTGATAAGGCTGACACTACAAACCCGGACACTCTGTGGCATGACAGGAATACACCGTGGCAAGAATCATGGCAGAACGCAAGCGTGGTAGGGACCAACAGGGAACCAAAGAGAGGAAGGGAAGGACGTACCATAGGCTCAAAAGAAAAGCGCACGAGACGCGGGGCTTGACCATCCTTGTTTAAACCGGGTGGCCTGCCATCCCCGGGCATCATCCCAAACAACTCATGCAGTGGCTGGCGCTCTTGCTCTTTTTCTCGCACTTTCCCATATTCTTGCAAGGGCTCATGAGACACATATAACCACTTTCCTGCTCCTTTGCCCCCGGAAGGTACGAACTGCCTCTGCTGTTGCTGCTGCTCGTCTGACACCGCTTGCTGCTGCTGCTGCTGCTGCTGCTTCTTTCGCCCCTCCAGGAATACACTGATCCTTCCCGCACAGCTGCTAGTGGTCACTAACCCTGGTAGGGTATTAATATCATTGATGAGGATGCGAATACCTTCATCCACAGAGCCTTTCGGCGATAGATCAGTATACTCTGCGTCCGGGATGGACAGGTCTGCGAGAATCTTGCGCTTGCGAGATTCAAAAACCTCAGGGATCATGGTTGTCGATGGGGACTCCATGGAGAGGGCTGTCGTGTGCTCCTTCACTATTGAGTCCTTGCTTTTCGAGGACTTCTTCGAAAAGACGCATGCAACGAGTGTTGGAGTAAACTACTATAGGCAGGCTAGAGATCCAAGGGCCGCTAGAGGGGTCGTTTCGCTTGTCGAAACCCCTCCCCACTATCTCTCACCCTCCGAATGATGAAGAGTAACGCTGATGATAAAGTGGATCAATAGGAAGTTCTAATCCCAGCGCCTCACTTCGAACCAGGGCTACACCAAAGTATTGGTCCTTGTTGGTTGGTTGATTGATACTGCTCGTCACCCTGGTGGACCTGCAAAATCCTTCTCGAACCTGACGTCGACTTCCCGAGCGTACGCACTAAGTTTAGCGGTGCGGGAAGCAAAGAAAGTCACCCGCGCTTTTCCCACGCGAAAAGTGCCCCAGAAGTTACCAGCCTTCTGGTCTCAGTTCCCGGTCCCTTTGTCCGCGTCGAACCGCCTGAAAGTCAATCTGTCGCTAGCTACGGAGTACACCCGTACCCGGACCAGGGCCAATGAATTCGTCTAATAACGTCCGAACAGCTTATATTGATCATTGATTTCCTCGATTCCGCTTCATATTCATTCGACCTTGCATCAAGGCGTACCTTAGTAGCTAGTGTTACCCGCCGATAAATCTCCCTGCGCGCAACTTAAAAGAATTGTACGAACTACCAAACCAAAAAGTCCGCAAGTCCTATCCATGCCTAGTCGATCGTCTCGGGCCGTTCCCGCTTCGGCAGCAGCTCCAGTGTCCGGCGCCAAAAAAGGCGCGCGTCTGCCAGACTGTCCGAATTCTCCAGAAAGGGTTCGAAGGAACAAAAGTACGATGACACCACCTCTAAGAGAGCCACCAAACTACCGCTCCAAAAAGCAAATATCTTCAAACAACAATTTCCCGGGAAACGAAAGCCCGAGCCTTTGCAGGTCTGTACCGTATTCCGCTAGCCACAACAACCCAGACACGTCATTCCCCGCATCCTCTGGTGGAAGAGCAAGGTTATTGAGCGCAGCGCCCCCAAAAACACAAGTGATAAGTGCTTAATTCCTCGGGAGTGTATTGAGAAGAAGCTTGAAAATAGCCAGAAGGAAGCAGAGCCCAATATACCTTATTGAACGGGTCAGAGGCGAGAAAAATTGGGTGTCGTCGAAGCTGACACAGCCACCTCCCCCCATAAACTCATCGCTTATGGTAGGAGAATCTCACAACTTGCTGAGCCCTTGGCAAGGAGATATTCATCGACAAGCCTAGATTGACCAGTCCAGAAGCAGTGGCCTACCAGACAAGACCTTCCCTGCAATACAAATTCAGTTCTTTCTGCCAGAACTCGCTGAGACTTGAGGGGTTCGTTTCAGAGGTAGCATCAAGACCAACGTGTGCGCATGAAGTCATTACACTTCAGACTGAGATTAAGTTTGAGCTAATTTCAGGGCAAAAAAGCGGGTTACCACTCATATACTTTTGAAGTGTTTGAGAAGCTCACTGATATGCTCTCTGAAGGACAGCCCGAATTCAAAAACACCTGGAGAGATATAGTAAGTGAAGACGAAAGGCACTCGCTCGAGAAATTGACTGCGGCGAAAGCCATCATCCATACGCCTTGCTCTAAACACTTGGCATACGCAGAGACATAGAATTCAGTATGGATCGCACACCGGATAAGGTATGATAGAATGTTGTATTTCTAACATTATCACTTTGACTTTCTGTGCGATGATGCTATGCGAGGCTAGCCAAGCTAACCATAGATTCCGAGTAGATACAGTTCACCGTCACTGGGCTATGAGCATATGTTGCACTATGCTGAGACTGGTGTCAGCTAAGCCCTTCCCAGTTTTTGCGCAGATAAAGAGGGGATGTCCCTACTTACTACGTTTCATGCCAGCCTGAGAACTTGCTTTCTCGACGGTTCAGCAGAGACGAAAGAACGCATACGCCACGGTCGCAGTCACTCCCGGCCCATGCGTCTTCCTCGTCTTGCCTAGCAACCAAGAAGATCTTCCACTTCAATCGCAACATCCAAGACCACTTGACCCATCAGTTTGAGCTTCTTCCCTCGCTGTTTATCGCTTCCCCATGTGCTAAACTCGACAATCGGTGTTGTTTTTCGAGGGATGTCGGTGGGTTATTCAGCTGAAACCGTGGTAGCCTCTGATCAAGACGCCTTGTGATGAACAATAGCAGTCAACGGGGATTCGCTGTGGTTAGAGCCCGAAATCTGGAGGCATGAGGCTGAAAAGCTTTAGCTTCGAGGCGAATGGGCTTGAACTTGAACGACTCTAAAGCAATCCTGAGGAACCTTTACGTTGCTAAGCTTCAGCACAATGCTGAATGATGAAATGGGTCAGTTGCGGAGGACTTCTGCAAGCACATTGAGCAAAGCGCACCCAAGCGAAGGCCCAGGATATCTGGGCCTCCCTCGCCGTCTCCATGTTACCTCTGTCCGGCAGACGTCGAAAGGCCATGACAGTGATTGCAAGGCGATCTTCTTGCATTTTTATTTCAGTCCACCACGCTCAACGAAGGATGTGCCTGAGTCGGTCCCCGGTGACACCTAGGGAGATTCCTGGTCCATCAGTATTATTGCTAATACGTCTCATCTGATTGGGAACATGGACGTCATCATTATCCCAGGTATATAAGTACCATCATCTCCCAAAGAAGGCAGAACGAGGGGGACAAAATGGAAGATGGCAAACTGGTGCCAGATGGTGAAGCATCTCACAGGGGGATGTTTGCTAGCTCTGACGGCCACTTCCGAGCTGTCACACTCTCCCACATCAGGGAAAACGACATCGTTCGGCGTCAAAGACTGGAAAGAAAAGCCCAGAGCCATCTCGACGAAAACCGCCGCATCTAGGATCAATAGCCCCTGGCCCCATGAAAGGGGAACACACCAGATTGGGGATGCAGTTCACGGCCTCCTGGCTGCCTGTGATGGCAGGTCTGCCGTTGTTCTGGGTTGGAGGTGTAAGCGCAGCCGCGAACGGGACCCTCCGACTGGGCCTACCCGAACCGTGTCTGCGCTCCGGCTTTGCACCCTGGGGCCACGCTGGGTGGATTGATTCTTGCACTTGCTGGCTGTGTCCGCCCAAGACCGTCGGTGGATCACTAGATTCATTACTTTTAGTCCCAAGGTGCTGTCCAGTTCTTGGTTCTGACACGGAAATTGCCTGCGCCGTCCCACCAAAGTGCTTTGGTCTCGAAGAGTTTTCTGCACCGTCTCTTTTGTTTCCATGGTTCAGCATCTGCCGCCGTCCCGGCGGGTCTCCGCTTCGTCCAATTACGATACTGGGAGAGCTTCTTGTCTGCCTAGGGCTACCAAATCGATAATGAGAATATCCAGCTGCTCCGTCTTCGTTGTTTCACCATCGACGCGTCTCTCGCAGAAGAAGAGGGGAAAGTTTGGTACCAATATGCACAAGAGAGGATGACAGCTCTGACTGGGATCATGGAACCCTTCGTAAGCCATGCCACCCATTGTTCCCTCGCTGTTTAGCCTTTCCCCCCGCCTGCCCGCGCCTGCGTCTATTGGATTTTAGTTGCCGTATCAATCATTACAAGGCCCTTTCCACTGTGCCCCTTGCCCCTCCTCTTTCCCTTTCCCTACCTAGCCTCACAGCGGTGTGTCTTCGGGCGCAATGTTACCCACCCTCAACCAGTTGTACTCAGAGGATGGTCAAGTGCCGCGACAAAAGCCTGTCGTGTTGTCAGAACCTCGTAACTGACCTCAAGAAATATCATCCGACAGGTCACGTACTCCAATAGCATCGTCGAGTCGATCCAGTGCAGGAGAAAAACAGTTCAACCTCCGAAGAGATGGGACAAGTGACTCATGGTTGGGGATCGTATACCCTGATAAGGAACTCCAGAACCGTGAGTACTCGTCGGTTTGGTGTGTAGATTCTGGATCCGTAGGTGAGTAATGTTGTCTCATTGCCATGGTCATCTCCACCAATGTTGTCTCTCCTACACCTGTCCTGTGGATGGGAATAACCTTCCCGTTACGGACGGTTGCGTGGTGTACCTTTGGTTTACAGTCTTTCTGGCTCTCGATCGGGTCCATGAGAGGATCAGGATGCTACCACATTTGCTTCCCTTTGACCGGTTATCCTGTAAAATCGGTACGACATTCGTTCCTTACTGCGCTAAGGACCTGGCATACTCCAACACCTAGTTCCGGGATTCCCTTACCGCCAGTTCTCATCCCCCAATGATGATGGCCATCGTGCCAATGACCCCCAGGACTGCGCGGGACTTTTGAGATTCAGGCCTTCAGGATGATACTACTGACGTGCATGTTATGGCCTGCTGTCCGCGCGCCGCAGCCGGGCCGTCGGACGTGCCGTTAGCTCCACGACGTTGGCCATCTATCAGCAGCAGCAGGTTATCCACTTCTGCACGAGTGCGAATTCGTCCATGACTTGACTCTCACAGGTCACTGCTTCCCCTCGTCCCATTGAAGCAAATATCCGCACTCTGCATCAGTGCCCAAATGGCTAACGCACAATTCCTTGTTTCACTCCATGGTCTTGTAAGACCTGAGTGGGGGGGGATTTGTACAGCCCCTCTCCCCAGGTTGTCATTCCCCGGTCTAGCCAATGCTACGTCGGAAGCATATCCTCTTCGGTCCGGACAGCTGTAAGCCCTGAGGGACCCAGAAGAGAAAAAGTGGAAAGGGGGTGTGAGTGTGTGTACCGCACAAGAATAGATGGAGAGACAACCCACCCCGAGAAAAAGGCCTCCGAATCAGCACTTGCAATTCCATTGCGCCTTGCGAAATCCTTCTCCCGGGCACTACAAAGTTGTCTTGCCTGCAAGCCATGAAACCTTGTGCTTGTCGACGATCGGCCATGATTCGACCCATCGTCCACACTACTAGCGGGGCATTCCGCTCAATAGGCGCGCATCCCATCGTTTACCCAGTGCCCATCGCTTCGCCCAACTTCCATTTCTGGCCTCGATAGGCGATCATAACTCATTTCCCCCTCAATGGAGCTCTATCACCTTCTTCCTGATTCGTCCCCCTTTCTCATCCCCCATCATCGCTACCGTAGGAGCTGATTTCCCTTCAGAAGCGGTGACAGAATTCGCAGTGGAGGAAGCGCGCCAGGGTGGAAAAGAGACGCGGAACCTGAGCCTTCATTGTGTGCGTCGTGGGGCCCATCTAGATTATGCGCGATATCCGTGCTCAAAACTCTCTTTGTATGGCCGATATCTTCGTTCGGCTACGCTTAGCACTGGATCCGCGATATCTCTCGATATGCTTAAGTGTAATTGCTTCTAATTGCCTGTGGAGCCTCTATTTCCCCTCTTCATGTCTCCAATAGAGACTAGATATTCCCAACTTTTTCGGCATTACCGTGACTGCAGCCCCTCTCCTCTTCCCTCTCCATCCTCCTCGGGCACAGAGGTGTACACCAAGTCCCACCACCCTCCCCCTCTCTCCTCTTAAGCTAGTTAGGCACACAGAGGAAGAGGGGTGACTAGAAGGAAACAAAGACACATACATACATGATTTGAAGAAAAGTACAATAAGAATACTCCTCCAAATTCAAGTACGCGGAAATGGAATAATAAACGTCATACCCGTTTCGGTAATTGGAGCCAAACAAAGAGTTGATGGCACAACTCAATAATACGGGCCCCAATTCGAGCTGAAGAGTAATAGTACTAGTAGCAGGCTGGCAAAATCTTTGCTCTTATTGTTCCAGATACGGAACTCGTTTCCTGAACACGATGTACTGTAGTAGTTGGTTACTCTAAGATTGATTGGTTGGCTGGCTGGCTGGCTGTGTACCACCCTTTCCTGTTAGTGGGAGAGATACTAGACACGGCAATGAGTTTCGGTTTGTAGAAACCGTTCAAGAAGGTTGTAGGAGTGGTTGGTAGGGAATAGGACCATGTCATTAACAAAGAGGAAATATACTTCGTACTTTGGTTTCCCTAAGAATCGTGCAGCGAGCTTGACGGCCTAGACGCATGTTTGCTTTTTTCGAAGATTTACATCCTAATCTAGATAGCGCGCTGCTGGTGTCGCTGAGCTCCTCTATTCATACGACGTGAACTTGGGTCTGCTTCGATGCAATCCTACCCCCCCCCCCCCCCCTTTAGGATGAAAGACAAGGGAAGAAGACGGTGGAAACAAGGAGTACCGCCTGCCATTGTTCCACCCTTGCATACAACCGGCCGAAGGTAGAGTGTACACTCCTGCTGTTAATCATGGTTGGTTGACTGCGGCTGATGACCGCGCCCGGAGATTAAGTTACTAGGAGCAAAAATCAACAATGTGATGTGTCGTCGGGTGCTTTGCCGTAGATCCTTGGTTGCTGGTTACGAGAGCCCACCCCCCGGAGCGCTCTACCCAAGTATCTTTCCAGTCGATCCGGCAAGCAGGACTATGGATGAAGGATTGAGCAATACCAGCACCAGCTGACCATCGGTTAGTATTATATGTTCAGAATATTCCCCGTCGCGTTGTTTTTGTCCAGCTAGCAACGCGTTGGGACACTAGATTTAAGTTAGGATAGTATGAAGTGAGAATTGCCCGCGTCGCCCGTGGCTGTGAGCACTAGAAACTGAAGTAGTATGTAGGGGAACTTGATCGTTTATTTCTGCGAGCGGGGATCTCGAAGGTTGTGTGGCCTGTGTGCATCTGCTTCGGTTTTGCCACCCTGACGGCTTAGGGCCCAGGAGGGTAGAGAAAGGCGCGTTAGCGAGTAGAGTGGTTACAAGCCATCCCTACCAGATCAGGTATCGGTCACCAAACTCTTCTTCCCGTGCCTAACCTCCCATCCCATCGTCACGCGACGAGACGCCTGGACGGGGAGTGTAAGTGTACCATCCAGAGTCCTCGTACAGGTTGTCACACTTGGATTGCCGGGCTCTTTATCACAAGATGTTCCCATGTGCAGGGGGTCAGATGCGCGATTCGAACCGACCCGAACCGAAATAATCCAGAACTGAGAATGTAGGGAACAGAAGGGGAGATTCTGGTACGACTTCGTGGCGCTGAAGCCCAGATCTCTCCCCTTGGACCGAGTTCCGGCTGGAAAGAAGGGCAGGGCAGCCTGGCAGGGCCGTCTGGAGTTGTTTGTCTCCTCGTTTCGCCACGTCATAATATGAGGAAGATCGCTCACACTTGCCCGCACACACTTTCTACCCGAGCGAGCACAGACTGGCCCGGGAGGTGAACCTGGTTCTCTGCCCCCTTCTTCCTTTAGGGCCAAGCCACTGAACCATCACCCTAGGCCAGTCGCTCTGACATGCCGCCATGGATGCATTACCGACTGTTTCCGACATCCACGCCAGCCCCAAAACGGGCGGGGATATTGTGATGGGCTGACCCAGGGCGCCTGCTCATAGGCCCCCTTGTCATCACGTGACCGTAGCCGTATGCGGGCTGATCGATGATCCCAGCTAGCATGGCGAGCTTCCCGTCTTGCTCTTCCCGTTGCCGGCGGTAAACTAATACTGTTCAGGTCCAAACGATGATTAGTTAGTTCCCAAGTGGAAGGATTCCAGACCGCCTTCCTACCGACAAACGCGGCTCTCCGGCCTGGCCAATTACCCCAAAGCTTCCGTGCTTATGCCCTCGGAGACTTGAAGAGGAGTAAGGTACCTTACTCACCTACGTAGGACTAGTACGTTGGTTCCTAGTACCTCCTGCAGTAGCACCTCACAGGTGCTTAGTGCCAGTCTCCAGAATTCTCAATGTTGCCTCCCACGGTGGACAAACATCCAAGCATCATCACGATGATGACGCATGATGACTGGATGCCCTAAGTTGGGCCGCGGAAGTACTTCCTCGAACCCCTGCGCCCAAAGATCACCAGCCACCATAGAACCATGGATTTTGCTGGCGGCCAAGAAGAATCGGCGTTGGTCACAGTGGAGAAGGATTCTGGAGATACCGGAGACAACGACAACCAGGAAAGAAAAGCCCACCACGCAGGTGATGGTGGGTTTTGGCGGCAACGGAAAGACGCGGACGCCAATGCACGGGGCCGCTGAGGGTCGAGAAAAACGTGGCAAAGGAGACTAATGGACGAAGGAGAGAAAAGGGCAACGCACCAAAAAGGGAAGGCAATGAGCTAATGAGGAAACGAAATTATGGCGCGCCCTCAATTGCGACCGTCGTAACGCCGCGTTATTACCGGTTATAGTATTACCGCGTTTCCGGCCGCCGGTTTGGTTTCGGTTTCTGTTTTCGTTTCCGTTCCCGCTTGTATGGTACCAAAGCAAAAGATACCACCACACTCAGGCCCCCAAGCCAAAAGCCATCTCCATTTATTTGGGCCCTTAGGAGGAAGCACATATTATGTGTGTTGTATGGGCGAAAAAGTGAGGCTGGCTGGCTGGCTGGGCTGGGCTGGGCTCTGACAGTTCAACATGTGGAACAGCAAGCGGGAAAGCGCAATTTTCTGGCTTGTTGCAGCATCCTTAATCTACTTACATGATATGAGCGAGGTGCATGGACCTTGTGCGGTGTGCTGATGTGGGAGCACCTTACCTGAGTTTCCTCCAGCCATTGGGGCGTGTGCAAGATGCGAGCTCTTATCTATCCTGTTCAAGAAGCAATGGATGATGCTTTTCTTCGCTGTAGGTCAAGGGCGCGAAACCAAACGCATCGGAGCCTGCAAGTCACTGATAGTTGACCGAGATGAACAGCGACGGAGTGTGGATCTAGAAGGTGAAGGAGCGGGAGACTGAAGGAGAACAAGGAGAGGGACGCTTAGGGATTGGAAGGTGCGAGGGGGCCATTGAGGCTGGAGGGTGTTGCAAAGCAGGAAATGGAAGGAAGGGATCGAGTGTCATTCATTTTGGCCCGATCAAGCGCATTGACAGAGATGAGACAGTTTTGCTGACATTAATTACCTTTTCATCTTCAGTAGTAACCGTCATATGTGGTAGATTCCGGATGAGGAAAGAGGATGATGACTTGGATAGCATGGTCCTCGCAACTCTCAGATACTCCCACAGAGACACACACACTTTCGCTCTCACACACACTACACTTCCTGCATAAGATCGGCGGGAGTCGGGGCGGCCCGTCGTGGACATGACCAGGAGAATGACTAGCAGGGCGACGATGATAGGGGGGCCGGTTGCCCAACGCCCTGACACAAGCGCCTCTGCATCCGGATCACAGCACCAATCCTCGGCTCCGTTTGCGACCGTGCAATTCCGACAATCTTGTTCTGCTGACGCCTTGTTCTGTTCGAATTGAGAATTATTGTGCGCTCGAGGGTCGAATTACTTCTTTGATTGTTTTGCGGTTTCGATTTTTCTTTAATTTGACTCCATAATGGCTCATTTTCAATTACTGGATAAAATGATTCTCGTATCGACACTCGTTGGAGTCGAAGGAGGGTGTGCCCTCAGAAAGTACTAGCAATACCCTAACGGCTTGCAGCCACAAAATACAGGCTAAGTGGACAAGTTACGGGAGTGAAATAGATTAAAGGTTCACTACTATGACACGATGAGAGTGATGACGACCACCAAAGACAAAATAAGATAGGAATAAAATAAAAAACAAATTAAAATTATAATTATAATATTAATAATAATAAAACAAAGTAAGAAGAAAAAAAATAGAAAAGAATTGCCAATGATGAAAAGAAACCTTGTTCAAATGGGAATGTTGTTCTTTTCCAGCACTCCCCCAAAACGGAAGTTACTGCTGTCACACGATACCGTCGACTGATGTCATGCTACTGCTTCCTTCGTCTACGTTGACGACTATTGCACCCAATCCCCGACCACCTACGCGAGAGATAATCAGTCAATGATAGACTCAACAGATTATGGAGGGTGGGAACACAAAGGGGTTCGCCTTTGGCCGTGCTATCTCAGTGTGATTAGGTTGCAGATGCTTGGACTTGTTGCGGATGAGAGCGGTGATGACTCTGCCTCCACAGCGAATCGTCGTTGCCAGCCACGTCTTCTAACTTCCACTAAGCACCTACCCATGAAGGGCTAGAGACTAGCTCCCTTGCCGCTCCCATGTGCCCAGTGGGTGCGTCCGTGTCTGCCTGTCTGTCAGATTCACCGGTTTGGAATCTCTTTCCCCTCAAGAAGAAAAAAAAAAAAAGAACACTTCGGCCATTGCGACATAAAACAAGGATCTTGGCCGGCCCCATTTTCATAACTTCATTGAATCTTGGATATGTCACCAGACCCCGCACAAACATGCACTTCCACAGTCCACACACATACTCGAATCCCAGGCTCCGGGACACGGGTGCTATCTCTCCGAAGAAAATAAAATTGGAAAAATAAAAAAACGTTGTGGCTGACTACTTACTATCTATCCCGTAACTAATCAACTAACTACCACACCCCAAATACCCATGGCCGTTTCCCGCTCGACAGAAATTGAACCGGGTGACGCTAATGCAAGTTATTTTCAATCGCTACCGATCGGGCCATGGTCATGCCCGTCTGGCGCCGTCCCAAGGCTGTAGCACTGGGAAACTTAGAACTCCCCACTAAAAGTGTGTCTCTCACGGCCCTTCCCTTCATTAACTAATTGATGCTAGGGGGCGCCGCTCGCTCATACTAAGTATCTAAGCGCCATCCTTTGTCACAGGGCCAACGCCGAAGGATGGTCTTACACATCATACGTGCGACTTGATCCAGAGACACACACACACACACACACACACACACACACACACTACTTGGATAACTCGTGAGTGAGTGTCAGCCTGATTTGTCAAAGCACAGGGACACGCACAAGCATTCTGCAACCTCTTTCCGGGCTTTCCTAATTCCAAGATTATCTCATCGTCGTGCTCGACACCGCCACAATATCCACCGATTAGATGCCTGAAGCGGCAGGTGGGCAAGCGCGGACCGAGCCTATCATGTCGGTGCAACCTCTTAGGCTTGGTATCAGCTTACCAGTGTGCGGACTCCTCCTACTAGTCAGGTCTTTCATCTGTTTTCAGCTCAACACAGTGTCGTGCTCGGGGCGTTCATACCCACTGTGACCACTGGAGCCGCACACCATTGTTACCACCCTCGGATACAGTGTCTGTAATCATGCATAAGTGGAAGCGCCCTGCTTGCCACTGATCTGTTCAAGACGTGACGGTAATCCCGGTAACCAGGCTCACCGCCTAATGGATCCCCTCTCCCATTCCGCCCGTGTATAGTGACCTCCACTTCTTTCCACAGGACGGAGGATGGTGGGTGGTTATGTGGGCTCGCACCTTGAGACAAGAGAACGCGAGAGAGAGAGAAGTGTGTCGAACCCACTCTATCTCTCTCACAAGCGCGAGGACAACTTTCCCATCGCCACTTTAATTATTATTGCTCCATCATCCCATGTGGCCGGGACCTTCGATGCCCCTTCGTATGAGCTCCAGTAGAAGGTCTGATCCATGGAAAGGACTCAGTTGGCGGCCCCGCCGACCCAATGAAACGCGAGCAAAGCGTTTCCGTATCAGCAGCGCAATTTGAGCCCCGGTACACATGCCGCTCACCGCACGGTAACTCAAGGTATTTATCGCCGGAACCGAACATCCTCCGAGCGACCCAACCACTGGGTAGTAAGTACTAAGTAGTGCGTTACCGCTGAACCATGAACCGACAAGAAAAGAAAAGGGAACCTAAATTCACCGGGATTTGGTGCCCATGGTCCCCGCGCCGTGTGCCAATCAGCTGCCGTGCGACTACGGTTCGGAGCGCTCCTTTCCCTGCTGGACCCAACCACAATCGAGGCGTCGGTAACTCAAGGGCTTCTTCTACGCCAATGAGATAGCGCCGCGGCTGTCGCTTAACCTTTGGACTGACTTGCATCACGCCGTGCCCACCTCCGTGCCCACTCGTAAAAACGAGCTGCTTTTTGCGGGGACATTCTTAGTCGAGTAATGGATTTTCTAGCCCTCTCTTTCTTACTTTCTCCTCTTCCTCTCTCTCTCCACTTGGATCAACTTTCCACTTTCTAATTATTTTTTCCCTCTTCCTTTCAGAACAAATGGTATGCGATCTCGCCTGTGTGTCTTTTTATCATTCGTTGAGACGGCAGAAATTTATTTCTTGATTCCTACTTTCTTTTCTTTTTTTTTTGGCCCCCAAACACCGTTACCCCATGGCTTACGTACAAATCTGAGCAAATCGAGTAGGTGAGTAGTAGTCTATTTAGCACGTTAGTTAGTTCAGTAGTATAGTCTGACTTGACTACTACATTCGGTAGTACGTAGTGGGGGGTTTTCTGTTAGCAGAAATGGATGTGGAAGTTTGCCTCTGTGTGGCTTCTTCTTTTTCTTCTTCTTCTTTTCTATCTTTTTGTCTAGTAATAGTCTAACTCAAGCCACTTTAAAAACCCCCTCATTTTTATCATCTATTCGACTTTCATCTTATTTTATTTTATTCTATGGATATTAATCTCCTTTGTTTTCGTATCGTATTATAGAGTACGTACTTAATCTGAAGGAACTTCAGAGTAGGTAATGGATGGAACATGGATAACCCGCGCCTCGGACCGTATACCCAGCGAATCTAGTTTCTTTGTGTGTCAGGTTCGTTCAAGAAAGATGGAAGGAATCCATGGCATTGGGTTTGGTTTTTCCAAGGAAGGCACACATACTACGGTATCCCTTTCCGCGCAAGATTAAATCTGGAGTATCTACAGAGACTAAGCTACTAAGGTTAGTAGTACTACTACGTATGAACATGGGAGTAGTAATTGAGTAAGTAAGCGTTGCAACATTGTATTATGGCGATAGTGATATGGTGGTGATGATGATGATGATGGTCACACTTGAAAAAGTCCCCATACCACCATCGTCAGGATTTTCGAGGTTCTGTGACCCAATCGTAATTCTGAATTCTGAATGGTCAGGTCGAATTTCGCTATTGGTTGAAAATCGCAATTTCTTAATTTCTTTCTTAAGTTCTTTCAAAGCAGTAAAGAAAGAGAGTTTCCATCCATGCCCAGTGGTGGTCCTTACCCCCTTTCGGAGCAATGGGACGGTACATCCGCCGCGCGCGGGAGTATCTCGCATGTCCCGGTCCGGGCGCCCGCCCACACCCTCATTCTCTTTCTACTACGTATCTAACATGCCTGAGGTAACTTGGAATTATGGGGCCTGGAACCATGTATGTGTATGTTGTTGGTTCCTTGCAACCTCAGGTACCATCCCTCTTGGGTTTTCGTTTGATCATTCATCCATGCATGCATGCACGCATGCAATCAACCCCGAGGCGAGGGAGAGAAACGAGGGGAGCCTGGGTAACAAACGGTGGGGTGGGTGGTCCACGCGATATGCCTGATGCCTTGATCCCGTTCAATTCTCTCCAAGTCAAGTCTCAGGCTGCATATCTGAGCTGCATCTATTGCTGATAGCCCTTGCGGACGGGTTGGACCGTACCGTTCGAAACATGCCCCAGGTATGGTGGGAGGATGCAAGGGATCCTGGGTATTGGGGGCCATGGGTAGTATAGGTAGCCAATCCCTCATTGATCAGAAGGGCCGAGGGTTAAACCAGGGAGATAGTAGCAATTCGACAGATGATTCGTGCGTATGGTGTGAGGGCTGGTCTTTTAGTATTATTACTTGTTAGTTTTTTTCCCCGTGGTGATGCTTTTATCTTTTTATTTTATTTTTTTTTCCCTTTCTTCCTTCTGCTAGTCTGTCATGACAATTAGCTCTGAGAGATGCAGGCTCCCGCTGGTGACGAGTCATATTAGAGACACGATCGTGAAGAATTGATATGGTGCAGATGTTTGCTTGTTTGGGAGCCAGTTTGAGGGAGTTCCCAGTCGTGCTGCCCCAATCAAATGATGCCAGTTTGGCTACAGGGATGTGTGTTGGATAGAGTCCTGACCACAACAAGGCAGCCGCTGCATGCACGCGGGCACTACTGCGAAGCATACATATTCTGCCTTTCTGTTCGGCAGAGGCCCGGGGCGCACCTTGTTGTATGTAAGTAGTATATTATACTACCTTCGTATGTACCTTGTATTGTCATACAACGACCATACAGTAGCGTCTTATCAGCAATTTCTCATTTCTTTTTCTTTCCAGCAGGCAGACGAAAGCCTGAAGAGGATGCAGCCAAGCTGTGCAGTAAGGGTAGTTAGTGGCTGTTCCTCGCATGCGCGATGCAGCAAAGGCGGGCAGGTATGTATCATTGAGAAATGACAACCACTTTAGTTAGCTGCAAAGTACCTACTTACCTTCTAAGCTGGTTGCAGCTGATGACCAGCTTTGGGGTGTTCCCTTCCCCACCCCTCCTTTGTCTGTGAAAGCGTCCTTTTCTTCTTCTGCAGTTTCACCCACTATCCCTCCCCCGGTCATCGGATCATGGTATGTATGTAAGGAGTGCCCAGGTACCGGCAAACAAGGCCCCGACAATCCCAATAATCATCTTTGGAGGATGCGCTGAGGATGAAATGAGTGGGCTGGTTCGAGACACTGTCTGCTTGGTAAGAAAGCCACGATGCATTGCTCCGAGGCCCCGATCTGTGGTACACTAAGTGGCAAGCAACCATGGTTCAATATTGCCCGGCCCCCTTCGTACCGGAGCTCTGGGAATTGAGAAGAAATACCAAATCGGAGGTAAAACCACCTTCCTAATAAGTTCCCCATCGAATAATTGGTAAACGGAGAAAAGGAAGTGAATGTGTTGAGAGCTGTTGGGTTTTTTCCCCAAAACAAAGCGAACCAACTTCGTTGGGAGAAGAAAAAAGTACTCCGGGACAAAGGAACACAGCATGAGGAAAGTGGGACATTAAGGCTGGATTCCCACACTTCCTTTCCATTCCTTCCCTAGAAGAAAATTTTATTTATTTTTTTCTAGTCTTCTGATTGTTGCCTGTGCATGTGCGTTGCCGGTCCCTCCTGTAAATCAAGCAAATCAAAGCAGTGTGACCAGGACGAAGTTGTTTGTGGGCCGCTGTGTTGTCGAGTATGTATGCAGCAGCAAGGTCGGCAGTAGTACTGCCGATGATTATTCATTTTCTGCAACCATATTGAAGAAGAACTAGTGATGTGCAGTATTTAGTAGGGTTCCGACAGAGCTTTTGCCATCCACGGGCCGTCAGCCCCTCTTTCTTTAAAAGTTCGGGGCTTCGGGCTTTACCCGGGTGGAGCCAGGATGTCCCTTCCCCGAACTCAGCCTGGATCATTGAACTTATTTGAGGGTGGAATAATGCTGGAAGTGCAAAGTAAGTATGCATGTAGCAACATTATTCAAGCAGTGGTTATCATAAAACCAGGTTGTCTATGGTACATGCTCCAGCATTACTAGTACTGATTGTTGTCCCGTGGAGATTCTAGTAAGCACTATTTCTTACTGAAACCTTAGTAAGGATGATTCTGTCCTTGCTGGCAAATATTCGACGTGGCGTGTGGCCTTGTTCTGAGCCAGTTTGAACTGGCGCCTTGGAGATGCATTGGCTAATAGAAACGATGCCTAGCACCTCCGATATTTTCGAGTAGTGCGCTGCTTCGCATATATGTTGTGGCCGACTTTAGACTGCTTGGTGCTAGTACTGGGTATACACTGGTATTTTTCTGTATGTTTGAAACGGGCGGAGTACTGCCAGCTGTATGTATGGAGTACTTACCTAGTAGTGTACCTAGTACGTAGTAGTAGTGACTACTGCAGTCAGTTCCTATCTTGGTACCAGTCCAAAAGCACAAAGACCCGGCACAAACGCTGTAACTGGGATAGTTTCAACGCCCATTCAGCCATGGCGAAGTGGTCATGTGAATTACAATCCGCAGCGGTGTTTCAATGCCCGCCCAAAGGGTGACAAAACACATATTAACGTGTATAATGTCAAGGTACCCAAAGAAACAGGAGCAAGACACCACAAGCGAAAAGGATAATAAAAAGAAAATATTCGTAAGTAGAAAGAAGATAAAGGCAGAGAAAAATATAATAAATCAAGAGAGATGAGGAAAATGAAAAATCGAAATAGAAAATAAAAACACCCCCCAATGAAAAGAAAAATAGGACACCGTAATAAGTAGAAAACGCGACTAAGCCCCCAAACTGGAGACGGAAGGACTTGAAGCGGTCGGTGGAGTTCCGTCACGGCGCCTTTACCCGTCCCGGCGTACCCTCCCTCCGTCATCAGTCGTCACTTGCGCCTTCTGGCAAACTTACGCCCCTCTTCAGGCTCTAGACGCAACAGGAGTGGCTGTTTGTGCGGTCGCCGGGGCCTGCCAAACGCCCAACCCGAGGGCCTTACAGCGATTCAGCTGATCCCCATGGAACCGTGAATACTTTAGCTGCGTCTTAGGTGAGTCCCCGTCCATGTCTATGGGTCGCTGGCGCGTTGGACAGGGTCCACCTGGTCTGCGGACCGTTCTTCTACGCTATTCCTTTCCATGACCGCTACTCCATCCTTCCACATGTGTTTTTAATTTTATTTTATTTTTCCCCCTCCTCTCTCTTCTTTTTCTTTTCCCCTGCCTTTTTTTTCTTTACACCCACCACATCCTCTCGTCGAGTCAGCAATACTACACCACCACCAGAACACACTGAAATTTCTCAGCTTTATATTTTACTGGAGATGCTCCACACATTCCGTCTTAATCGTTCTATCCTAGTAAATATTGGGAAAAAACAGAAGAAACAAGTACCACCCATAGTATCATTTCCCCCTCTCTCTTCCTCAAAATGGTGGATCGACCAATGACCCTTCCCAAACTGTCTGGTACTATTCATTTGCCCGACGACGGAGCCTGGGTTCCATGGTGATTCTAGCACCCACGACAAATTAATTGCCCGCGTGGTGATTTTCTCCAGCAGAACCAATGATAGTATCCATCATGGAGACTGGTTGAGGACACCATGATACTAGATCGCCTCCGCTTTCTTGTCTTGATTAATACGTACCAGAGTCGCGCGTAGCTAGAACGGGTATGAAAAGTAGTAGGCGCGCCATGATTCCTCGCTCCTCATACCCGCATCGTATCCAGGGACCCAGTCGACCCAAATAACCACCTGTTGCATTCTTTGGAAGTCCCCATCGCGAATCTTCCCGCCTTTCCGCTTCCGCCAGCCGTGGGACTCGTACCCTGCGTCTCGTGTCGTTTTTGACGCGCTTGATCCAACCGTTTTCCTTTTCGCCTCCCGGACGGACCGGCGGACTCGGCGACCCAGAAAGTGTCCATTTTGGTCTCTTCCCGTCGCACTGGGAAATCCTTTTGGGTGATCGGGATAGAGCCGTTCCAGTTAGTCAATCAATCTATTTGTTTTCAAGCTGCACAAGTGGAAATTAGTTCAGAAGAAAAGAAAAGCGCCTCAACTGAGTCATTGCTAAGGGTCGTTTGTGGAATTTAACAAAATGAAAACCCGAGATAACTAGACAATGGGTTATAATTGAAGACTAGGTCTGCTAGAATGTCCCCAAAAATATTGCCTTTTCCGACTTCGTCCTTTACACTGTATTCTTAGTATTACCTAGAATTTAGTAAAAGGTATGGGATGGGGGCATCTGACTTATTCCAATCATGTCTATACATCGACCAGTCTCTTCACTTTGGCAATTTTCCATACTATGTCAGGTCTTAGATTTTTTTAGTACTCAAGTCTCTTCAACTTTCTCGGTCTTTCGATTCGCATAGATAGTAAAGTATTATACAGTATCCCCGTATTTCCAGGACTAACTAGGAAAGGTTCATCCTGTGCCATATGCATCTGTTCCAAATATCGAAGATATGGCTTCCCTGTCATCGCATTGCTTTTTGTTTCCTGCAGAGATCACGTTTGCCTAAGAATCCTGGGCATCGAGATCTACGTGGGCTCATTAATTTCCTTTCTTTCCTTTTTCTGTCTTCACATTAGGCAATAATTGAGGAAAGAGAAGGGTCCCAAGCGGTAAAAGGGCAGACAGGTGTGTACACGCCCTCCCACAGATAGTCGGTTTGCATCTTCAAAACCCCAGCATTTTCGCTACAGCCGTGGATCAACAGGCCCGTCCCTGTCCTCCTCGCAGCTTTGGTTTCTTTGATGTCTGATCATTGATGACAGTTGCATTGCGCTACTGTCAGGCATTGGAGACGCTATTGCGTCTTTCTTTGCTGACAACCACCACCATGCTTATAACAGCCTAGTATCACCTTCTCGGTTCAAAGAGAGAGCCTTTCATAAGCTCTGTAATCCCCTTTCTCTGGGCTGAGGTATCTATCTACCATATGCACTATCTTCCGGTATGTTCAGGTCTTGGTTTCCCGTTTTTGCTACCAGATCTTCCATTGCGCCTCAAGATACTCTGGCTGCGTTTGAAGTGTCTTCTAAATCAATTCGCGAGTTTCCATCGTTAAAATCTATTACAACTTACCAGCCCAGTCTGTTCAGTTTGGCTGATATTACGGGCCATCATCTTTGGAGCCCCTCAGTGCTCAACGCTCACGTCATAACTGAAATCCCCGAGGCTCTCGTTTTCTTCCCTTTTCTATTTTCTTTTTTCGAAAAATCCGAAAAAGAAAAAATAATCAAAAAGGAAAATGAAAAAAGGAATTTCTCTTTCCCCATTTTTTTTATTATTTTCTCAATTTTATTTTATTTTATTTTTCTGGTCCTTATTTTATTTTTTACGCCTTCGCTTTTCCTCTTTGTCCCTTTTTTCCCTTCTATATTTTCCCTTACCTTCCCACCCCCTCCTTACCATCCTTCCCTGACCCTTGCTAAATTTGACCACCGCGACCTCTTAATCGTCTTCCTTCCCTCCACCGCCTCCCTCTTGCCCCCTGGTCTTTTTTCCTTCCCTCCCTCACCTATCCGCGCTCATCTCATTCCTCGGCTTCTTCCATCTGCGGATTAGAACCTCTTTTTGGTTTTCTTTCCCTCTTTTATTTCGCCTCCTCAACTCAACTCACTCACTCCCTTTTCCTGCTTTTTACTCTTCCCCCTCGACTTGGCTCTTCTGCCTCCCTCATTCTGGCTTAAGCGTGACCACGAGGCTATGCTAGCTTCGAAAATCACCCGACGGGAGCTGGAATTGTACTTGAATTGGTCGACTTTCTGACCGGCTTTGACTCCGCATCGACACTACCTGGTCGCCTTACACCGACACCTTTCGCCTCCGTACATACTTTACGTACTTACATACTGCTTACATACATACGGCCGTCCATTCCTTGAGCCATACATACGAGCATACATACAGTCAGACAGTCAGACAGCATCATACATACATACGCTTTGCCCGTGCGGCCCGCGCTCTCCAAGGAACCTTACCATTTCCACCATCCCTGCCTACCTTTTCGCCTGAACGACCCGCGGGACCGTGACTTTCACCTCACATCATCCTGCATCTATTTTCTGGCTTCCCTCCGTCGCCCGTTCCCGTCTTTTTTTTCCCTCTTTCCTTTTTCCTTTTCCTTTTATAAATCAGCTTCTCTGGCACGCTCGCTCTACCAATGTCCGGCAATCCCAACGACCACAACGACCCGAACCGGCAGGGCCCGTACCGCAATCCCAACGATTTCAACGATCCTAATCGGCCGGGACAGTATCCGCCTCCACCGCAATGGAACACTAGTCAACCTGAGCAGCCTGGTGATGGTCAACAACCTCCTCACTATCCACCAACCTCTCAATATCCTGTACGTTGCCCTCTGCTTTCATTTCACGTTGTCGCATATATGCACCATATAATTTATCCTTAATTATCCCTCATATGCCCTCGATCTCCGCCTTGGCCTGCGATGCGGCTCTTTCTCGAGTGTGTTAAACGGTGCGTTGGCTAACCTTGATGCTCTTTTCAACCCATTAGTATCCTCCGGCCTCGTACCCTCCAGCTTCTTACCCCCCAGCTTCCTACCCACCACCAGATCACCAATACCCGTCTGCACCTGGACAGTATCCGCCTCCGCCGAACATGGCAGCTATTCCCCCGCAGTCGCAGGACCCCTACCGCATGGCACCCCCTCCCGGCTCCTACCGCCCCCCAGACATGTACAGCGCACCCCCTCCGCCTCAAGTAGTCTATCAAGCTGCTGCTCCTCGTCAGCGGACTGCCATCGCGTGTCGCTACTGCCGGAGACGGAAGGTACGTTTTGTCAAATGGCTCCCTTTATGGGAGACCCGTATTGTACTCGGTCACAACTGACCCTTTACTTTCTGGAACCAATAGATCCGTTGCTCGGGATTTGAAAGCTCTCAGGATGGACGCTGCAGCAACTGCATCCGCTTCAACCAGGAGTGCATGTTCACGCCAGTCTCATCCCAGGCGCAAGCCTTTGTCCCTGCCCATGCCGCCTACCCTCACCTACGGAATGCCCAGAACCAAGGCCGCGGACCGCCTCCCGGAGGAGTCATGCTCTATGGTGCCCATGGCCAGCCCCTCCCACCACAGCAGCAACCGGAGAGTACACTTCCATCGGTGTACCCCCCTCAATACGCAAACGCTCCTCCTCTCCCCAATGGAGCTCAGGATCATGTGAGTAGCACGAGCTTATTATTGCGATCCAATTGTTTCTCGGGATACTAATCTCCTTAATAGAGACCTGTTGGTCGTCGAGGATCAGGCTCGGGTTTTGAATACCCTGATCCCACTAACCTCGCCCCGGTGACACCCGCTACATCTGCATCTGGCTATCAGACGTATAGTGCGACGAGCCCATACTATCCGCCGCCGCCTCAACATGAGCGACGTACTTCTCCGCAATCGAATTATCCCTATGATGGTCGCCATTCCTCGTCTCCTCACAGCTCCCCGTATCCTCCTGTGAACCCCAATCAGACTCCTCCCCCCACTTCCACCCCGGGGGGTTCAACTCGCGGCGGGCTGAATGTGCGAGACATGTTGAATCCTGGAGAAGGTCAGAATCAGGGCCAAGGCCGCTCTAGCACCGATAGTGACATGCTCAATGCATTGAACCGTCGGGGCCTAGGCCAATAGTTCTCTGCGACTATGCCGACATGACATCCAGCCAACGGGTTGGCTATGATGGGGATTAGGGTGGTTTGACGGATATGAGTTCGAAAGATTATGGAGATGCAGCGGAAGGAGGCACGTTCAAGATCGTCGATGGCTGACGCGCAAAGCTTGTGTGCTGGTCACACGTCCATGTGATAGTCGTGGTAATATCTCATCCCATGCTGCTCTTCTTGCGGCCATTGCCGCACGTTCATTGGGGTACGAAAGAGCAAGATGAAGCGAAGACAATGAATTCATGTGCAATGCCTGGACGGAGATCACATCTTAACAAATCACGCCGACTATTGAAGCGCAACGCAATGCCTTGAGTGAATAGAGGTCCGAGGAAATCAGGATATAAAAACAATTAAAAAGGAGAGGCAAAACTGGAAGTTTTTCAGCTACGAGGTCATGGAAACGAGACGCAAGAGAGTTACGAGCTGCACGATTCAAGTGCGAGGGTGTCTGTCTTGTTGACTATTCTATACGGTCATCTGCGCATGTGGATGTCGATGTTGCAGCGCTCATCCGGCAGCTACAGTGCCTTGACAGTCATCATATCGCGCACTGTTCTTTTCATCATCTACAACATTTCCCTTTCCAAAGACACTGTCACTGGCTATAAACTACTTAGGGCGACCTACTAATAACGATTTTCTTGTTGGTCTTTCCGTTCGTTTTCTTTACCACGTCCAGTTCGAAGCTCCGAGAAACGTCAAGCAAAGTGAAATCTACACTCTGCATCCTTCGATCAGTGACCGCATCTTGGAAACAGGCGGTTATGCTGGGATCACCTGGATGACGAGCTTTGATCGAGAGCTCCATCTGTCGGCAATGTCTGTCTTTGCGTTAGCCATCACGAAACGAATCATTGGTGCGAATATCTGCTGCATTTCCATTTCTTCCGAACAAGATGTGTGATGAGGCTTTCTTTCTTAAATGCTATTGGCGGTGGCTTTGTCTTTTCCATGTGTTTCACTACTTTCGGGAGGCTATCTGTCCTGCGTTCATGCTCTTGTTTCCGAGTTATGTTGTCTGCTCTGAAACGGCTTGTTTTGGGACGGTACTTTGCCATCATTCGCGAAAAAGGAGGTCATTCTGGTTTCAATTTTTGATGTTCTGCTTTTAATCGTATTATACTTGGGAGGCTGTCTGATCAACTTTTACAACTTGCAATCACCATGCGTTCTGTTACATGCGAATTGTTTTGGTGCCTATCTTGATTTGTGCATATTATTCGTTGTGTTTCCGCGTTACCTACCTCATATAGTCAAGTATCAAACACCTACGTATCTTGTTTATTAGGTATCTTCCTGGCCATATACTAAGTAGATCATTGCGCGTCTGCTGTTACAATCGATTGTCCGTAATCCTGTATTGTAACTTGACCACCGGTATTAGCTGGGACCCCCACTAGCCTTGAAGTTTGGGGAGCATAGTTCCAAATAAGCACTTTCAGCTCGACAAGCATTGGGAAAGAAATAAAGAGCTAAGTAGTTATATTAAAGCTAATAGAAATAAAAACAGGTATGTATACAAAGTACTAGCAGCTAAATGGCTGGCTGGCATATAATAAAAGAGAGAATGTGTGATTTTTCTTCTGGGGAATGAATGATTATAGGGCGATTTAGGGACTTAGGGTAGGTATGGAATTGACTAGCGAGGTATTGGTATCAAGAGACTTTAATCCGGTTCGTTTGCTTTGAAAATTCAATTAATGGGATTAACTGGAGACTCGAGTGAATATGGAACGGTAGACGCTGGAGTAGAATACAAAATATAGGATGAAATGGAAATGGAAATGGGAACCACGAAGGAAGGAAATGTTTCAGAAAGAGTGACAGAAGTTAGAAGGGTTAGTCAGATAAGGAAGGAGAATATGATGAATCAAGCGAGTGTTTTTGTTTGGTAGATAATTGGTTGGGAATTCGACCTGATGAGGTCACGATTGGGAAAGAGGGAAGGGGGGAAAGACATTGAGAGATTATGAACATGAAGTCCTGAAAGGGGTTGTTGATTGAGGGTATATGCAGTGATAATTGAAGGGGCCTGGTAGGTGGTTAGAGAAGGCTTGCAAAGTCCATCCAGATGGTCATGATAGTCCAGAAACAGTTTAGGAGAGTAATATGAGGATGGGAATCAAAAGGGTGGGTATTCATCATCTTCAAGAGTTCGGGTAGTCGTCCAGAATTCGAACCATCTCTTTTGCTCGGGCCGGATCTTCCATGAGCATGTGCTGGCCCTTCATGAGGAGGTAGAGAGTGTCGACCACCTTGTGGAAGGATGATGCTGCTCCCCGCTCTTGCTTGAAGCGAACAAGGCTGAGGTTCTCCTGTCGACCTTGTTCTAGGTATGTGCAGAACTCAGCGGAGAATTGGACCGGTCGAAGATTTAGCACTGCAAATCAATGGGTTAGTTGGGCTTCTTTCGTAATGATCTGATCCGTGTGGTCTGGGAGACGTACAGTTGACTTCACCCACGCTTCCGTAGATGACTCGTTTGTCCTTGTCAAGGTAAACCTCCTCCATACCCCATTTCTTCCACTCACGCATTGTCTTATGGATGTATTTCCGAGCTTTGGTGGTCGATGTGTTGAGTGCTATCACTCGAGTAGCAGGCTTGAGTTGAAATACGCGGGCGAACCAGTTCTGGCTCTTTCCTCCACCACGTGGGGGAGGTGGAAGAGGTTTGCCGTCGAATTCGGTGTCTGTTGTGTTACCAGTCTCGATGTTCTCGTGGAGCAAGACATTGGTGTCTGCAGTGTCAAAGCCTGTACTTGGTGATCAGTTTCCTGTTTTAGCTATATGGGTAGACAAAATTAACCTGTATCTTGGTTCTGAGATTCCTTGCTTGCTCGTCTATTCATTAGTCTTCTGAAGAATCCGCCTTTAGGCTTCGTCCGCGACGGCTTTCCATTGAAGTGACTATCTCGCTGGGTGTTGGCCTTCGCTCCTCTCGAGTCACCCTGGTGGTGTCTGATCACAGTCGCTGAACTCGGTTGGATTTGCGGGACGTCGCTAGGATATCTTGTAGTGTGATCCCCTGCCATTTGAGACCTGTTCTGAAACCATGACCATTTCTTATTGTCCGAAGAACGAGTGCCGTTACGTCTGGGCGACCCTGGAGTTTCTTCAATGGGGTCCAGTTCGCAGGGACCCCGATCTTGGCCGGGGTTCAGGGAAGCGAACTTGCGTGTAGATGCTGCAGCCTGGTCTCTCTCAGCATCTGTTGTGCACGCGTCCGGTGTCTCTGGAATGTCTTCGGGAATAGAACTGCGGTTCTTTCGAATATTCAAGTCCTTGGCTGGCCCCATCGACTGCAGAGAACTATGAGGCACCATGCGAACTGTTCTCTTTCCATCGCGGTTGGAGCGGCCAGGATGCTTCTGAGGAGTTGGCAGCACGGCTGTTCCTTGGTCTTCTACTTTGTAACCAGCATTGACTTGAGGGTTGGGTGCAGTTTCCGGGAGTTTGGTTGCTTCTGGTGGCTGCGGGGTTTCACTTGACGACCGGACAGATTGCTCCCTCAGCGCACTGGGATAAGGTATAGCATTCTCCCGCCGCTCTCGTCGTTTCGATTCATCCTGCTCAATTAGACGATCTAGGTGCGCAATGATCGGCTTCAAGTAGCCCGGGATGTTTCCTGAGTCGTCCTTAGTTGAATGCTGGATCAGTTTACGACGAGTTTCAGTAAGCTCTGCAGCCGTGTATGATCGTGGCGACGATGCGGCTGGGGGTGCCGTGCGTGTGGTCGAGTGTCCTTTGGAAGCAAGCTGTTGATGAGACACCTCAAGGCTGGCGATCGACAAGGATGTCGCAGGGGTTTCGGACCCAATGCATGTGCTGGCTGTGCAGTTCGTGGACAGTGAGCTGCCGTTGAAAGCCTCCTCGCATATTTGACTTAGTTCATAGGACACCTTCCGCGCATCGTCTTTCCAAATGATATCGCTATTTCGCACCCTTCTCATCTGAGGGCAATTCCTGACTGTGACACCAGCTCCACGCACAACCGTGGGCTGAGCGGGCAACGAGGGGCTCTCTTGTGCGTCAGAAAATGGATCATCGTCGTAGTCAGAGATGACAGTGCTTTCACTTGCATCAAGCCTGATATTGCGGGCTTTCGGCCGCGGTTGCCTCGCTTTGGTGGATAGTACTGAGCCTTGCGAGCGGTTCCTTTTGTGATGGAAGGATACATTGCGTTTGTAGCTGGCAGAACGCGGCGTTGATGCGACATAAAGAGCCCGACGAGACCCAGATAACGAGGTCTTTGAATGGAACGATTTGACGGAATTGACCTTCATGCGCTTATCACGCATAAGCACGAATGGTGAGCTCGGTGGACACTCGGGCACCTGAGGCACCTGGGGCACCTCGAGATCCGCGTTCTTTGCAGCTGGCTTCGGTTGGGGAGCCGTTTCTGTGGGCTCTTTTACGGTCTTATCAACATCGACAATGAGCCCATTACGGTAGACTGTGATCTTCGCACACTTCGCTTCTCTCGGGGGGTATTTGCCTTGTGGAGACCGGAACGGGTCGTAGCTTCGCGTCGTCGCACAGGACTTTGGCTCTTCATTATATTTGGTCCTTATTCCTGTTTCTTTCACGGGTGGAAATTGCGACCACTTCGCTGAGCTGCCCTTCGCACGTCGAGTTCGGCGACTTGGTGTACGCGGTGCCACTGATATATGGTGATAGTCGCTGGCGGAGTGCTCGAGAGTCTGTCCTTGATAATTCTCCAACTGTTCGTTTCTAAATTTTACCAAAGCATTGTAAAATAGGCGTTGATGGCTCGGACTAGTTGTTCCATCAATCAGCTTCAGGTTCACTCGCTCGGTATCCTCCATGCAGGCGTTACATGTATCATAATCAGGGACATGGCTTGACTTACGTAGGGTCTAAGATCCTCTTCAGTATTGCTTCGGGAGTAGCATCATGCCATAGTGTCTGCAGGTTCCTCAGAAGGTCGATGTCCACGTCTTCCTTGTTTGTAATGGGTGGGCCACAGTCTTCGGGCATAAGCGGCGGTGCAGGACCGATATGATAGTCCACTGCCCCTTGGTAGCGCTTCTCATACTTCCTGATCAGAGGGTGTCTCCATATTTCGCTCATGCTAATTCGATGATCTGGGTTCTTCTCCAATATGCGTATGATCAGGTCTGCGGCTTCACGGCTAATATTTGGAGGAATTTTGAACTCTCCTCGCCTCACCAGCTCTAGTGTGCGGTGGGTGTCATCTCCGTCGAATGGAAGAAAGCCTGTCAGTAATGCATACAATATTATGCCGCAGCTCCATATATCTGCCTTGTCACCAAGATATCTCTTCCCTCCGACGATTTCCGGAGCAGCATAATGTGGACTACCGCAAGACGTGTCAAGCCAACGATGCGATGGCTGAAGAGCGGCCATTCCAAAGTCAGCGAGCTTCACATTGCCCTGCGCATCAAGAAGTATGTTCTCCGGTTTCAGGTCTCGGTGACAGATATTGAAGCGATGGCAATATCCCAGGCCAGCAATTATCTGACAGAATATCCGTACCGCTTCGTCCTCTCGAAGAGGGGCGTTCTCAGAAACGTACTCGAACAATTCGCCCCCTTCAACGAACTCTAATACTAGGTACCTACGTATTGTTAGCCATAACTCCCAGTTGCGTCCAATGTTACCTACAATTCGCCCCGGTTCTCCCAAACATCATAAAGATTGATCACATTTGGGTGTTCGATCAGTTTCATGATGACAACCTCGCGCTCCAGCCCGGATGGGATCTGGCGCGGCCCTATACCTCCGATACGATTGGCCTTCTTATCCATTCCCGCAATACTCGCACTCTGCGTTATGGCGGCGGATTTCTTTGAGACGATCTTGATCGCAGCCAACTGTCCCGTTACTGAGTGCTTCGCCAGTCTCACGCGGCCGCTCACCCCCGTGCCGAGTGTCCTTCCGAGTTGCCATGGTCCCACATGTGTCTTCCTCTTGCCTTGGTTGGTGATTATTGACGCCGCTGACATTACAGAATTGCGATTAGTGCCTGGCTGTGAGCCTGGAGCTGGGCTGCTGCAGTTGACATCTGCATTCTTTGCGGACAGAGGACTTGTCACAATGGACATCGGCACCGGCGATGTCATCTGTTGCTGTGGTTGTCTCGGTGGCTCCTCTCGCTCTGTAATCGGGGCAAGGCATTTGTTTACTCTTGCTGAAGCATCCGTCAAGGGAGTCCGCATTGTGTCGGGAGTAAGAAGAGCTGTATCCCCGTCCATCTGCCCCGTTTATCGATGAAAGAGTCAATCAAACACGCGTCTGCATATAGAAGATCCCCGTATATGCCTCGATTGTTCTATGCTGGGCTGTCATATCGTTAGAAATATTGACGCGTATACATCACGATGAAATAGACTGATACATACAGTTGACAAGCTCTCTCTATAGGTTTGGAGTAGTCACTCACGCGTAGACCTAGGTAACGCGCACGTCGTGCAAACAGCAAATACTTGAGGTTTTTGTTGTTCGAATCGCCTATCGTCTGCTCCTGCTGTTCTGTTAGTACTCTCCTGCCTGTCTGCCCTTTCAGGTCCCCATGTAGTGCTATGAGGGAAAGGTAGTCAACCACAACGTTTGCGGATCAAACCAACTCCAGACTGCTATGGCTAGGTGAGAGGGACATAGGAGTGCAGATGAATCTCCTAGAGTACCGGTAATTTCCTGGAGGCATGCTTTCCTGAGCCATGCTCCGCGGTCAAAGCGAGCAAACATGGTTTTCTCAGCCGGGTTTGCTACATACCACGGCGAGGAGAGTCTGTGGAATGACCATCGAGTGTTTGTTTTGCTCGGAATTCCTCTCCATTCACCCGGGCATCCGGCAATATTGTGTGAAGTACAGTTTGGAATGCGGAAATCAACCCGGGCTAATTATGCTTTCTTGCCAGTACTGCTGACTACAAAAAGTTGACACAAAGGAATCCTCTATCTATCTCATTGATGCGACTCATCTCAGGTAAGTAATTAAAGTGATCATGATGATATTCATTTTTGCAGGCATAATACTTGGATGCCGCATTGACTGATCTTTGATTTTGATCGTGGTATTCAAGGATCCGCAAAACCCATCTTTCCATTAAATTCCCCGGATGTGATCGAAACCCCTAGGCTCATCAAATGCGACGTCATTGCAGACACCGGCGATAAAGAGGTGGCTGGGATCTTTGGCAAGTCAAAGGGACATGCATTCCCCCCTTCGTGGCGTGAAGACAGGGGCTTGCACGCCGCTCGAGTCTGTCGAATACTCCAGACAGGCTTACTTTGCCCCTTGTTTACACTAGGTTTAAGTCGCAAAGATAGGGATAATTGTTGCCCTTCGCTCTTACATTGCGCTTCGGAAAATTACCTGCGGTCTCTGCGTGTGTAGACGCAGGCCACCCGTCCACTGTCTTATCAAATAAATATCTAACAACTGTCGATAAGGACATAACACCTTCTGATATGTTGACAGGTTTTCTTGTCTGACGGGCATCTGAAGAGGAGGACGGAGATGGAATACCACAGTGCTTCTCGGATCCGACATACCATAGGGAGCATCATGAATCGCGATAATTCCAACACTTTGCTTTTCTCTCGGATCCCCTAAATATAGGGATTATTGCTAATGCAGTAAATGACAGCGGCCTTATGATGTGCAGAAAATTAGAGGTAGCCATTCACCAATGTTCCTCTCCAATTTCGACGTCTTCGACATCTACTCCCTCCACAAACCATCTTCCCTCTCCATTTCCATCAGGTCCGATGAGCACATCATTGCCGCTCATCATTCTCTTACACATCTTTCCAGTCTCTCGATCAAAGGTCCAGTCTTCAAGACCATAACACCGCTTCCAACGCAGACCATCATCAATATCTTGATACTCGTACCAAAACTGTACTGCAATGCGGTTATCGGTGAAGGAGAACAACTCCTTTCGCAGCCTATAATTCTCTTCCCTCTTCCACTTCGCAGTCAGGAACTCAACGATTCCCTCTGTTCCGGAGAAGAATGACGTCCGATTGCGCCAGATACATGTTGGCGTATAAGCCTGTGCAACTCGCACGGGATCCCTACATGTAAAGCCCGTTAGAATGCGAGCAAGCAGTAGAGCAGAAACAGTGTGTGAGTTTCAGCAGCTGTCAAGAATGCTGTGGGGTATCAGAGAGAAATGGAATCAAATCAATGCAGGGCGTGAAGAATGGGAGACACGAGGTAAAGGCCTCGATTGGACGCAAGGGATGAAAATCTGAGTTCACGGCAGACTCTAACCCCTCATACCAGCGTCGAAAATGACGACAGCGTGCAAGATACAGGATTCTAGATCTCCCAGAGGGATACATGTCGTGGAGGGAGGGAGTTCTTACTTGGTGTTCCATAGGTTCTGAGCTGCCTTGACCTTCTTCCGAGCCGATTCTTCGGTGAAAGGGGGCTTGATGTCAGCCATCGTATAGTAGTTTATTTTGATATAGAAGTGATGAAGAAAACACAGATCCGTTGGACAGATTTGGGATTATGCAGGAAGCGTGAGATGGTCAGTAGAGCTTATTATTGACTCATTGTACATAAGCCGTTACACGTCACGTGGGGCTAGTGGTCGTTGAGATGTTAGCGCTGCATTAGAGGCTTCCGCTCAGGACGATCAGTAACTGTCATTTCATCAGTGTTTAGATGAAATAATATTGAGTAACTAGTAATATTGTTGTTTATTGGACTCGATCATTTGAGTTCAAATCATTGATGTGGCGACCCGCTCATGTTACTTGGTAATATTAGTTCACTTCTCATAGACCGGATAAGTATATATATTTTGATCACTGCCAGTTAAGCACCGCTACAAAGCACTGTCAGGGAAAATATATAATTAATGTCATGGTTCATGGAATTACTAAGAAACGAGCACCATAAAATGATACACTGCTAATTCTACGAAAACAAAATATAATATTTACCAGTTATCATCGGCTTTGTCGGTTTAACTAAAGTCTGTGGAAGACTACTATCCCCGCACTTGTTGCCTACAGGGATAGCATCCTGCGAGGTACTTACTCATCAGCTTATCAGCCTATCGGTAAAGGTCGCAAGGGAGCGCAAGGCTATTCCAGGTTAGGAAGGCCCGCGGCACAATGCGATCCTTCCAGAGTAGGAAGCTGTCTGGCATGAAGTAGTCGCAGGGCTAAGCCGTGCAGCTACTGAATCTCACCACTCGGACCTGATATTTGCATCCGGCTTACAAGGATATATCATCTCAATATACTCTAGCGGACGGAAACTAGCTACTAGTGCTCTAAGCTGACTCGGCCACTATAAATATGCGGTCTTATGCTCGTCAAGGACAGGCAAATGCTCTGACCGCCAGAAAGTGAGCAGGATTAGCACCGTTGCGACCTCCTCCTCAGAGCGCCATCCTATTAAGCAAGCGGTCTATCATACTATTAGATCCAAGGCATTCATACAATGTCTCTGGATTCAAAACTGCCTGGCCACCGGCCTGGTATGGCAGTAGTGCCATCTAGGCCACACCCTGTCAAAGGAAAAGCCACTCGAATCCTCCTCCTCCTCGCTCTGGTCGCGTTTGTTATTATTCACATATGTGGCGGACTTAACAGAAGCAAGAGCGTTGAACAACAGCTGCCCAGTCCAACTCCCGATAAGTCCTTTGAATGGGAAGATGTAAGTAAATGTATCAGGTTGGGACGTAATGTTCTAATATACGCTATCAGATTACCCCCACCGAACAACTCATATACCATCCATGCTTTGACCATCACGAATGCGCTCGCTTGTCGCTTCCAATGAATTGGAATCGAACGGATGGCGAAGGGTCAAAGATTGCCTTGGCTGTTATCAAAGTTCCTGCAAAGGTACCTGTCACAGATGCGCGATATGGTGGGGCCATTCTTCTGAATCCAGGTATGCAGAGTCACATTACTACTTTACAAAGTTTCTTCTGATTGTAAAATAGGTGGTCCTGGTGGATCCGGAGTGAGCTTGGTCTTCAGATATGGAAAGGCTATCCAGACCATCGTCGACTCCCCAGAATCGCCAAGTGCAGATTCGGCGAGCGGAAAGTATTTTGATGTTGTCAGCTTTGACCCAAGAGGGGTTAATAACACAACACCTAATTTATCCTGCTTTCCTGACTCCGCGACGAGGAAAGCGTGGTTACTGCAGCTAGAGGCAGAGGGTCTACTTGGAAGTTCTGAAGGAGCCTTCGATACTCGATGGGCAAGGTATGAAGCTTTTGGTATGAGCTGCAATCAACAAGGAGTCACAGCGTCAAAGGATGGTGAATGGATAGGAAAATTTATGAATACAGCCCCTGTGGTGGCGGATATGGTTGAACTCGTAGAGCGCCAGGGAGAATGGCGCGAACGAGAAACAGAGCGGCTCCTTTCGACGGATTCGAGTACGTCTCCCGCTGAAGCAAACTCGGACGCGGAGAGAATAAGTCTGCACAATCGCTGGAACAAAGGGGAGGAGAAGCTGCTCTACTGGGGTTTTTCCTATGGGACAATCCTGGGTTCCACGTTTGCAGCCATGCAGCCTCATCGCATACACCGTGCTGTAATAGACGGTGTCTGCAACGCCGATGATTATTATGCGGGCAACTGGCTTACCAACTTACAAGATTCGGATGAAGCATTCGACAAGTTTTTCGAGTATTGCCAAACAGCTGGGCCCTCATCATGTCCGTTCGCGCTGGGCGGAGATCCCGAAGACCTCAAATCTCGTTATGAGCAACTTTTGACCAATCTTACATCGAGCCCTATTGCCGTACCTCCCTCAGGAAACAGGGGACCAGAGATTATAACCTATAGTGACGTGAAGTCATTGGTTGTGCAGGCTCTCTATACTCCTTTGAAGTCGTTCGATCTAGTGGCCCGGTTGTTGACTGAGCTCGAGCAAGGTAACGGCTCTTCCTTCGCTGATCTCAAGTACGAAGCCAAACAATGGCCAGCACCTCCTCCCTGCGATTCCTCCAAACAGTACAAAGTACCTGGCGAGAGCGATCAGGAGGCCTCGAGGAGTATTCTATGCACAGACGGTCCAGGCCTCGACGGAACCACCAAGGAGGAGTTCCGGAGCTACTGGAAGAGGCTCCAGGGACAAAGTAAGGCGGTTGGAGATTTTTGGGCTGAGATTCGCATGTCGTGTGTCAGAATGGAGACGCGGCCTGAGTGGCGCTATGATGGTAAGTCTGAAAAGCACATGTCATCACCGCAATAGAAGCTTACAAGTATGTGTTTTTCAAGGGCCCTTTACAGGCAACACATCGCACCCGTTGCTATTTATCGGAAATACTTATGATCCAGTAACTCCGCTCCGGAAGTAAGTTATGCTCACTCGATCCTGACAGACTTCGAAGCACCAACTGACGCATCCGCAGTGCTCATACTATGGCGCGTGGATTTCCTGAGTCAATAGTGTTAGAGCAGAACTCCATTGGAGTGAGTACTCTTTCCGCCCCTCCCTTCAGACCCATATGCAAAATTACTAACATTCCAATGTCGCAGCATTGCACACTGAGTGGTCCATCATTATGTACCGCGAAAGCAATACGCCAGTATTTCCAGACCGGAGAGCTACCGGGTCCCGGGACTGTTTGCCAGGTAGATGAGCTTCCCTTTCATCTTGCCGGACAGGAGAGAAGCCAGATACTGTCGCCAGGGGACACGGAACTGATGTCCGCATTGCACTCGCTGAGCGAGGTGCGCCATCTGCTAGGCGCGTGAAGAGGGTGAATTATTGCAAGGGAGCGTTGCAGTTATTAATCTTTACATCATAGGAACTGGCTGGAATGCCTTTTATAGCAACTTGCCCTGTATCTCGACCAAGAGCATGAATAACACATTACATCAGCAAAGTCTACATCACCTGCGCTCAATTTAAGAAGTATTACCTAGACTACTTAAATTATTAAGCCAACCTTATCGAAGCATTTGCAGACAAACCCCTGTCCATCGTCAGGGGCAAGACAGGCATTTCTTCTAGAACCCGGAGGATGTATAATCGCGGTGGGGAAGATCATCCCAGACCATTGCCCCAGACTCGCCTACCTTAGGTAATCCATACAAATGCCGGGGAAAACCAGCGAGGTGTTATTCATCATGGCGTTGGATCGGCTTCTGCGCGGTGTTGCCATCATAATCATTAGCAGCCAAGCGCGCTCAGCCACCGAAAGTCGAGTTCCGTGATCGGGGGTCGACCTGGCTTTCCTATGGTTGGTTGGCCAATCTTATCAGATGCTCGGATACCAGGACCCGTGCCTACCAAGTACACAGTAAGCAGTCGAATGGGTCCGACACAAGCCGAGGATCACCACATCATACTCTACCTAAGTGGCAAGGCGGGATATGGTAGTCTTATCCACGGTAACGATGTGCGAAAATCTTTCTCCCTGGCTGAACCAAACTCATTGCCTGGAAGAGAGTTTGAGGAGGAAAATCTTCGGAAACTTGTAAATCATAGTGGCGGTCACCAAGCACCAGCACACCAAGGTCCCTGAGGATATTTGCGGTGGTGGACTGGTTACGTATTGGCTTACTTGGCAGAGGAAGAGCAGGGCGGTGGTGGGTGGTGACCACTGATTGGCTCGATATTGGCTTAGGTGGGGCTGTTTTCTCGTGATTCGGGTTTTTAGGCCAATAGGAGGGAAGTCTGGGTGCTGGGATGGAGGGGCACTATGCCCATGCCTGAGGTGTCGAGGTGGGATGGTTTCCTCAGGACTATCTTTGGAGGCAGAGATAAGCTTGTTGGCGGTGATATAACGCCGGAGACAGGCAACTGGGCTGTCGATGCAGCTATACATTGAGATTCGGGGTGAATTGCGTAGTAATTCTGGTGAGTAGAAACGAACAAGCAGATTTGTGTTCACATCGAATTCACGGCAGACCTCTGCTTTTGGTACTGCAAACAGGCTTGATCTGCAGCATTGGTTGATTTGTAGATGCCAATGGCTATTTACTAAGCAGATCGATAGAGAACCCATCTAGGATGAGGATTAAATTGGAGGTTGAGTGGCGTTAGGATCAGGGGTGTACGGGAGGTAACCAAGCTTTAGTTGTACTGATGCAGACTCGGATGCAGTGCCGGCTCCTGATAACCAGCAATTGATAGATACTACATCGGGAGAACGATGAGCCTGGGGAATTAAATGCTCTCCTGATAGCAGTGCTAATTAGCTATAGAATTGATGCCCAATTTCTGGGGGGGGACTGAGGATGGCCCGGAAATGCAACCCAGACAGACCCATGATTGAACCCTGCAGAGAGAGCCCACTTGTAGAGAGTATGGGATATCTGGTCCGGAAACACGTTCCAGGAAGGAGTAGCAGCAGCAATAGTAAGACTTGAGCATCGAATCGAGGGCCGATTTGTCAACGGTCACGGTCTAGATATGGTGGCCAGTGGACGGGAATGGCGCAGACCCGAAAAAGGAATGCGTGGTGGGGTCACTCAGTCTCGGGCGGTCTTCTTGATAATACAGTTCCCCCTCCAAAGCCCTACCAATCGAAGAGTTTCGGTATCCTTCTGCTTCGGATCACCTCATGGCGCCGTGGGCGGGCCGTCGCCGCGTTATTCGTTGCCCTTGACACAGGAACCATTCATTCAACTGAAGCTAAGGTCGAATTACCCGCCACAGGCTCGCTGCCCCCGTTCCGTCTCCCCTTCTTCCCTATATAACCAACCTTCCATTCCCTTCCCAATCTTCTTCACTCTCACAACTCACTACTACTACTACTCAATCACTCATACCTTTTCTAGTACACCTTACTACCAACTAATCTCATTCACAATGTCTGGCCTCAACCCCGGTGACAGCTTCCCCGCTGACGTTACCTTCTCGTGAGTATTCTCTTCATTCTTCTATTCTCTCTCTTTCTTTGCCCCTCCCCCACCGTCTTCCGCCTTTCCGGTTGCTGGTGTCTCTCGCGCAGCAACGCAACCATATACTGTGGTCACCATACACTATTACTAGCACATTCACTAACATTCTTACCTCCTTTCACAGCTACATCCCCTGGTCCGAGGAGAAGGGCGAGATCACCTCTTGCGGTATCCCCATCAACTACTACGCCTCCAAGGAGTGGGCCGACAAGAAGGTCATCCTCTTCGCCCTCCCCGGTGCTTTCACCCCCGTCTGCTCTGCTCGCCACGTCCCCGAGTACGTTGAGAAGCTCCCTGAGATCCGCGCCAAGGGTGTCGACGTTGTTGCCGTCCTTGCCTACAACGATGCCTACGTCATGAGCGCCTGGGGCAAGGCCAACCAGGTCACCAACGATGACATTGTAAGAATTCCTTCTTCTTTTCTCGTTTGTCCTTCAGACCAATGATACTAATCCTTCTACAGCTCTTCCTGTCTGACCCCGAGGCCAAGTTCTCCAAGAGCATCGGCTGGGCCGACGAGGAGGGCCGCACTGGTCGCTACGCCATCATCATCGACCACGGCAAGGTCACCTACGCCAAGCGTGAGCCCGCCAAGAACCACCTCGAGGTATGTTTTCCATTCTTTTTATGTCCAGGTGAATAGCTACTAACCATTATTGCAGTTCTCGAGCGCTGAGGCCGTCCTCAAGCAGCTGTAAACGTGTCATTTAAAGACGATAGACATGGCAGGCGTCCGATGATAGATAGCGTTGACATTGATATTCTGGTGGGATAATGCGTTAGAAATTAGACAGAACCACTAGATAGAAAGAAAATCAACGCGCTTACGAAGCTACGACAACTTTGTTCATATTGTAGTATGATGTCAGTACGTAGTATACTTATGTCCAACGATCATTTAAAGTAACCTTAAGAGTAAAGAAAAAAAAAAAGGCAAGAAAATATACAAAGAGAAAAACAAGCTACTAGTAGTCCACCCCTAGCTAAGACTGATCTACAAAGAAAACCCGAACATCAAAGCGTCAACAAGAACTAAAGTACTAGGATTAACTTGAGCATTTAACCGTCAGCCAACGATATCATTGGTTCCGTTGGCCATTTTGTTGCGTCGGAGTGGCTGCTCCCATCACTAGTTTCTCAATTCTGTCGGCCGGAAAACTGAAAGTCGACGACGGACGACGGGACAGACACCGCGCTAAACCAAACCAAACCAACCCATTCCATCATTTCATTTCATTTCATTCCAGACCCGGACCTTTCTGCAGGGATTCTTGAGAGCTTTAAATTATCCAACTGCAACAGATTCTCCTCCCCTACAAACTCCAAATGAGATATATTAGTTCCTAGAAATCCCCTTCGCACACAACAAACGCACAACACATTTCATCGGCCATCATGGCCTCCCACCCACCTAAGCGCAAACCTGCTGCTCCCAACAACAACTTCTCCGCCGCCGCCGCCGCCGCCCGCAAACGCCAAAAAACATTCGATGCGCGCTCGCTCGCCGTGCAGGCCGCCGACGCGGCATTGTCAGCCTCCGGCGAACTAGATGTCGCTGCGTACGTGGAAGCAAGAGAATACGAAATTCGGTCGCTGGAGTCGGGGATCCAGCGATCGAAGAATGCGTTGACGAGTCGGGCGTTTCAGAAGGTGCCGAGGTCGTTGAGGAGACGGACGGCGAGTCATAATGTGAAGAGGGTGCCGAAGAGGTTGAGGGCTAGGGCAAGGAGAGAGGTATATATATATTCTTTTCCCTTTGCAAGGTTACTCTCAATGGGGGTCCAGTAAATATTCTAATGTGTGACTATGATTCTTTGTGTACAGATGATAGAAGACAACACCCCCACCGTATCATCACGAACCCGCAAACCGACCGAACAAATGCGCATTCGGCTTGAAACTGCCCGGCGACTACAGAACCTGAACGCGAAGACGAAAGCCAAGCGCGCGGCCGTGAAAGCTCAGCGAGATAAAGAGGTTCGGAAGTCGTTGGAAGAATCCGGTAGTCATGCGTATGAGATTGCGCCGCGGGTGCCGAAAATTAAGAAGAATAAATTGTCGAGGCCGAATCCGCCGGAAGCGAGGTTCAAGAAACGTCAGCAGTGCAAGACTTGGTTGCCGACCCATATGTTTCATGCGAAGAGAGCGCATATGGCTACTTCTAAGGATCCGTTGTGGAGGTTCGCGGTGCCGTTGTCGCCGACGGAGAAGAGTTATCGGCCGACGCATCGTGCCAGGGGGTCCAGGGGTGCTGTGGCGTGGGATATGAGTTATTTGGCGACGGTGCAGTTGGAGGGGTCGGTGGGGGCGCTTGAGGGGGTGTTGAGGGCTGTTGGGGTTGAGGGGGAGAAGGCGTGGGGTGTGAAGGGGAGGAAGTGGAGGGCTGGCACGAGGGGATTGCGGGCTTGGGTGTATGAGTGGGAGGAGGAGAAGAGGCCCATTGCGCCGGTTACGTTGGTTTGGTGTGCTGAGGTGAAGGGGGAGGATGTGGAGATGGTGGATGCTGATGAGAGTGGGAAGCAGAAGAAGGGGAAGAAGGGTTGGAGGAAGGTGTTTGTTCGGGTGCATCCGTCTGCGTTTTTGCAGTTGTGGAATGCCCTGCTGGGTGTTTCGAAGAAGCAGAATCCTCCTGTTATGGTCGAGGACTTGCGGTTTGAGATTGGCAGTATCGAGATTACTGGTCCGGGGGCTACGGAGGCGTTGCTTGCGTCGTTCAAGCCGGTTGCTGTGGATGGGAAGGATGTCGCTGCGGACAGTCCGGAGGCTACATGGACTTCTCTCGTGGGGGTAACGAACCCTGCATCTCTGCCGCAGGATGCCATCCTTGGGTTCTCGGTCTCCGACCCTCGCCTCGATTTCCCGCCCAAGGCTTTGAAGCCATCGTCGTCAGAGGAAGAGATGCAACGGCTGGCTATATTACTCTCGTCGTGGACCCCGGATAACACGCAGACGGCCCCTGCTCTCTTCGATCGTCGCGCCCGGTTAGCTGCTGCACGCCAGTTGCCTAGCCAAAAGGCTATCAATCGGCGTCGAACCGAAGCTGGTCCTGGCGTACGCCCGCCCGCCAAAGACACTGACCCCAAGATACCTGTGATGGTACTGGCCAGTCGACCTACCCATTCCAAGAGCAGCAGCGCACCTGGAACCTGGACTGTCCTCCTCCCATGGAAGTGCGTGCTTCCGTTCTGGTACTCGCTGATGTACTATCCCCTCTCGAGCGGCGGCAACCCCAGATTCGGGGGTCTGAAAGAGCAGCAGCAACTCTCATTCGAATCAGGAGAGCCTTGGTTCCCTGGTGACTTCCCAGGAACCCGCGCCGGATGGGAATGGGGCCTGCGCGAGACAGAAGAAGCGAAGCGAGAGTGGGAGCGACGTCCCAAGGGGCGCAGAACCGAGTTCGAGAGCATCGATCTGAGAAACGGACAGAAGGGTGAAATAGGACGTGGTTGGGCCTGCGACTGGGAAAGACTCATTCAAGGAGCACCGGAGGCGAGCAATACAACCGACAAGGAACAGCCCTCAGAGACTGAAACCAAATCGGATGACACCACCAACTCTCAAGACAACAACACCAGTACCACACTTCCACCACTGAACATCCACCAACTCTCAACAACTGAAGCAACCCGCGCCCTTACTGACCCCTCCACCACCATCAACACGTCTGCTCTAGCAACCGTCAAACTCACCCTCCTCAACCGCGGCACACCCACCCCCCGAGCCCGCATCTACCGACTCCCAACCACTGATCGCGAGCTCCGCCAGGAGTGGCTCACGCTATCATCAAAGCAACCGTACGATGGTCTCAGGGATGAACTTCAGAAGAAACAATCCCGATCTACCGCCAACCTCGGCCCTGAAGATGTCCAGCAACAGCTTGCTGCGTCGCTTATCACTCCGTCTGCGGGTGACGATGTTCGTCAGAAGCATTTGCCGGTTCCGACGGAGGAGGATCTTATTGGCTTTGTTACCACGGGCAATTATAACCTTGCTGAGGGAAAGGGTACGGGGATTGGGTCTGTCTTGTTGTCGAAGGTGCAGAAGGGGAAGGCGAGTGGGAGGAATATGTGTATTATAAGGAGTGCGGGGGAGACGGTGGCGAGGGTCGGGTTTTGGGAGTTGGTTTGATGTGTATGTGTGTATGTGTATGGATGGATCGTGTGGCTTTGTTGCGTGATACCCTGTGTGTCTTTATGATTGTTTGGGGAGGAGGGGGTTAGAACTGAGGATAGGATTATGATAGAGATGAATATGCAAGATCTGCCCATTTAGTTGGGACAATCCAACCAACCAATATCTACACCAGTAACAACATACTCTTAAGTAAAATAAAAGATGAAAACAGAAACCAGTAACCTTCTCTAGCAAGCTAGGTATACATATACACACATGCACAAACCGGGATTGATGACTCGGCAGCAGCAGCAGCAACAGCAGCAACGGTCGAACAAACACACACTTACACACCACACTATACCTCACCTCTCTATCAATATAACCCACCATCATCAACACCTATGGAAATAGATAAATCTACCCAACAATCCGATCCACAAACCCTTCCTCCAACCTAGCAACCTCCTTCTTAAACGCCTCGACCTCCTTCCAACAATCCAACGGCCTCCGATCATTCAACCTCAAACAACTCACCACCTCCGATCTAGCCTTCTCAATCCCCGCATCAATCTCAACCAACTTCTTCCGTCCTTCCAACTTCGCCCTCAACTCCTCAATCTCACTGTTCACGCTCTCCCGCGACAGTTCCCGGTTAATCGGCTGCTGCGCCGCCGCCTCAACCGCCGGAGCAGCAGCAGCAGTCGCGAAGTAGCTCTCCCGCCCCGCGAACGGGATCCGGGGCGCATCCAAATCCAGAGAGCCGGGTGGGTAGTAGGAAGCACCCGAGCTGCTGGGAGCGTAGCTGGGCGCGGGTGTCGAGGAAGAGACGTCTTTGGCTTCGGCAAGCTTCTTCTCGATCTCGGCCAGCGTTTGCTGTTCGCGGGCACGAAGGCGCTCGAGTTCTTGGGCTACGCGCTCTTGGATTTGGAGTTCGAGGGAACGGGCGCGTGCCGAGTCGGTCTGTTTTCCATTAAGAGATGGGGTGGTTAGATGGGGTTGTGTGGAGGGAGCTGGGATGTATGTATGCGTACCTCGGTGTTGGACTGGAGGCCGTCAACGAAGTTGGCGGAGAATTGGACGGGGGAGGAGCTGTGCAGGATATAGCTGTTAGCTGGTATTCATTCCGATTTATTCTCATTGTGACTTTGTGTGTGTTCAATGGTTTGAAGGGTGTATCGCCCCATGTCGAATTATTTATTTATATGGTTGGGTTGGGTAGATATGACAGTCCGGCTTCAATAGCATTGCATTGAGCACGTCCACTGAATATCCCAGCCCAGACCAATCGATATACCAACACCTTCCAGAGCAATATATAATCGTCCAATGTAAACAAGTAAAGCATTCCTACCTCGAGAAAATGTGCTTCGAGTCGGCCGGAGCCGCGGGCTTAGAGCTGCCGGCGCCCATGATGTGCGGATATCGGGTTTCGTGTGTCCGTGACTTCCTTCAGCCGAAGCTGTCTTGTGTTGCTTGATGTGCCGACGGGGGGAAGAGGCGAGTGTAGTTCGGTTTCAGTGGAACACCGCAATTGGCCGCCGAGAGATCCTGATCGAGGGCAATTCCTGTGTCGGAGCAGGGAATTGCATATCGTCAAGGTCCGTTTCTGAAGCCGACTTCCGCCGGGTCACGTGGGATTAGTCATTATTTGCCTGAGGCAGATATTGGATGATGTTTGTTGATGTCTTGGTGCCTGAAGAGGATGGGTGATGTGTTGATGCCTTAGGCTAGGTACTGTTGCTGGATTAGTCACAGGGCTGCCGTTTTGGGATGGTTGGCTTTTTTACTTTCTTGGACGCTGGAGGTTGGGTAGAGATGCAGTTGGTGCCCGGGGTTGCTGGGATGGTTGGCTTAGGGAAAGTGTATTAAATTGGGGGTTCTTACTGTACCTTAGGTGGTGTTGGTTTGAGTGGTTGGCTTGAGGGTTAGACTTTGGATCTCAGAGGGTCAAATCATGGGTATGGATAAATTGATGGTGAGAGGTGTGCTTCACATGAGGTACTATACAGCACAGGAATAGGTATGTTGTTGCTCTCTCTACAAATTTAGACTAGCTATTGTCATGTTGGTGAGTGGTATACTGTCTCTGGTGGTCTCACGTGCTTGAAGATCGCTCGGCCTATCGTCTTGTTCGCGATAACTCTAGTTAGGTGACGCAGCAATGTAAACTACTAACGAAGTACTCTCTACATGCAAACAATAAGTGACAGACCGGACAGATCGAAACCTTTAAGTGGCTGATCCTGAGATAAAATCTCGCAGTGATACTGCAGCATGCAGGGAGCAGCCGTGGAGGGGATGGTTGCTTGCATAGGCTGGACGGTTACTTAAGGTTACGTCGAGACGAGAACTCCCCTGATCATCATCTTCTGACAGCTGGACTAGTCAGTCCCAAAGCAAACAGCCGTAGTTAGTATATCACTTAGTTGCGAGTAACTATGGTGATTCCGATCCTGGTACTAGTATGATGCTCATGTCAGCATCTCCAGGTTCCCCAATGCCCCAGACGACCGCATCCGGAGACGGGGAAGGAGAGCATCACCACTAATTCACCACCCACCGCGTGGTCTCACCCTCTCCTGACTGACGCAGAGGCCAAGCACGAGAATGGCATTGTGGTATTGCATTGTGTGCAACAGCCATCCTCGCCCTTCCATTCCCTTCGCTGCTAACCAATTCCCTCTCACCGGTGAACGACGGCTTGAACCCCACCAAGTTGGTTTCATGCGTCATGGCAGACACGCGGGCGGATTCGCTACCGACTCGCGGCAACCCCGTCTTGCAGGCAACTGGGCCACTTTTTAGTGCGAGGAGTGGCATCTGGAGACTGGAGACTGGAGAGAACCACGCACTAAGTTAGTAAACCTGGGACAAGTGCGAGACATCGGCAATGCGAGAATGTCGGGAAGAGGGGGGGAAGCAGAGAGAACTGGAAGTGGTAGTGAACCCTTTTCCAATTTCCCTTTGGCCACGCCTGGCAAACCCGGCGAACCCGGCGTTCCCGTTGGCTTGAGCCCGTCGGACTGACCTCATCGACCCCTCCAAGTGCAAGATTATTAGTTCTTTACTGGGCTTCATGGCTCTGCTATTAATACGCCCACTTGCTCCCCCTTCATCATCGTATGCTCATTCCGGATAATAGTTATTAGACTCTTCCTGCTCGTATCCTCCTCCTCCTCCTCCTGATCCTTATCCTTTGTTCCCTCCACATCCTCTACTTTCTCTCTCTCTCTCTCTTCATCTCCATTCCCCGAATTCCCCTCCAGCTTCCGTCTGCCCCTCCCCGTATTTACTTGAACCCCACCATCCGGTCTCCTCCTTCACCACTTTTTTTTTCTGTCTGCACACTGTATTTGTTGTGGTCTCAACACGTCCCTTGAGGCTCCTTTTATTTTCCCTCTCCTCACAAATACTCTCATATCTACATCTCTTCAGTCATTATGTCATCTGCTCTGCTGTCCGAGGCTGCGCGCATTGCCAGCCAGTTCGACTACCCCGCTGCTGAGGTGCAACGTGGAGTAACGGAATACATTCGCGAGATCGATGAAGGTCTGTCCAAGGAGCACACGACCCTCAGTCAGATCCCGACCTATGTCACGGCAGTGCCCAATGGCACGGAAAAGGTACGTTTCACCACCAATCAGCTCCCTCCCGACAAAACAGCAGCTGACCTGGTCATTGGCAGGGTTTGTACCTGGCAGTAGATCTCGGCGGCACCAACTTCCGCGTGTGCTCGATCGATCTACATGGAGACACTACCTTCTCCCTTACCCAGTCCAAAATCATGATTCCTCGTGAAACCATGGCGTCCGGTACGGCCAAGGATCTCTTCTTGTTCTTGGCCCGCCAGATCGAATCGTTCCTGCGCATTCACCACAACGACCACTTCGAAGCTCACCTGCGACGCCGCAATGAGAAGAATGGCAACTGTGAAGAGGACCTGTTCGACTTGGGTTTCACCTTCAGTTTCCCCGTGCGTCAGCTGGGCATTAACAAGGGTACCCTGATTCGCTGGACGAAGGGCTTCAACATTCCCGATGCGGTGGGTCAAGATGTCTGTGCCTTGCTGCAGAACGCCATCGATGATCTGGGACTCCCGGTGCGCGTGGCTGCCTTGGTCAACGACACTGTCGGAACCCTGATGGCTCGTTCATACACTTCTCCTGGAGAGACGGGCACGTTCCTGGGTGCTATCTTCGGCACGGGCACCAATGGCGCCTATGTGGAGAAGCTGGACCGCATCACGAAGCTGCAGACCATTGAACACTCCGAGTACGACAAGACCACCGGTGAGATGATCATCAACGCCGAATGGGGCAGTTTCGACAACCACCTGAGTGTCCTCCCGAACACCATCTACGACCAGCAGCTCGATGCCGACAGCAACAACCCGGGCATCCAGATGTTCGAGAAGCGCGTCTCGGGTATGTTCCTGGGCGAGATCTTGCGCCGCGTCATGCTGGACATGCAGCGCAACGAATCTCTGGGCTTCCTCAAGACTGGCGGGGCTTCCACGGTGTCTGTGCCCAAGGAGTCTTCCCTGTACCGCCAGTGGGGTATTGACACCAGCTTGTTGAGTCTGGTCGAGGCCGACAAGACCGAGAATATGGAGCAGATCAAGGTCGCTTTGAAGGACCACCTCAAGATCGAACGCCCCACCACCGACGACTGCAAGGCCATCCAGACCGTTGTTCATGCCATTGGCAAGCGTGCTGCTCGTCTGAGTGCCGTCCCGCTGGCTGCTGTCCTCCTCTCTACTGGCAAGCTGCAAAAGGACGACCTCGTAGACATTGGTGTCGATGGCAGTCTGGTTGAGTTCTACCCCAACTTCGAAGGCTACATGCGCGATGCCCTCCGCGAAGTGCCCGAGGTTGGCGAAGCCGGCAACAAGAAGATCCGCATTGGTATCTCCAAGGATGGCAGCGGCGTGGGTGCTGCTCTGATCGCCCTTGTCGCTAGCAAGGAGGATGCCCGCAGAAAGGCGCAATAGTGGCCGTCAAAACCATCTCGCAGGATTTCCGCATTGGTTAGGTGTTTTTGAAGAGCGGTTGGGAGGACGGATGTTTGGGCATATTTGATCTTTTACGGCGTTGTACAGCTTACTGGAATTGTGAATATATCCTAGGTCGGAATGAATTCTTTCTTTTACTATTATCTTGATTCATATGGCGACAGCACTGTAGCTTGCCAACCAAGGAGGAGTAGTTGGGCTGACAGGGCCAGTCCGAATTCTAACGCTGCGAAGCCAACACGCGTTGCTCCTGAGTTGCCAATGCGACCAGGCGAACAAAGCGACGGCACGAGAAGCGAGGATGCTATTGCCCGCCACAGCCGCCCAAAACCAACCATCTCCCACTGAAAGAATTCAATAGTGCCTGATTTAGAGTCTGTCTTTCTTTGACCACTGGATTGGCAACGAAAATCAACGACAGAAATAGCATGCAGGTACTTAGTCTAGGTGCAGTCTGGCTCCCACCAATCCTTGCTTCAGGGGAAGAGGTGAGTCTCCGATCGAAGTTAATCCATCCTTCTTGGAATTCCCCTATCCCGATATTCTTTGTGGGAAATCTCCCGCCTGATCATTCCCCAACTGACAGGAATCTTTCAAGGGCTCTCTCCGGATAGAAATCTTTCCGATGCCGGAATGTCAGAAGCAAACCATCCACTCTCAGTGTGACCCTCGCTTTGCCCCGTCACGCTGCCAATCCCTCCGGGGTAATACCTGCAGCTTGCACAACCTGACCAGTGCTTCGGAATACGGATTGCTTCTGCTCCTGAATGGTCTGGAGCCTTGACATGCGCAACAAAGCAAGGGGTCGCCATTGGGCCAGACTGGCGTGGCTACGAGATGGTGACACAACCTGGCTTCCATTACGGCAATCGTCGTCAGCCAGTGAAGCCGGAAGGAGGCTTTCCTTGAGCCGTCTTTCTTTTCACTGCTGATTTTCCTTCCTGCCACTTTGTTAATCGTTTTTCGGAGTGATTCTTAGATAACTGCTTCATGTGCAGACCAGAGGAGGATTTCTTCTACTGCTATCTACACTGTTGACTGCTGCCCTAAGTAACCGTCATCTGCTTAGGTTGTGAGATTGGTTTGGGTCTTGCATACCTATTCTCGCCATGGATGCTTCCAACGCTGAGAAGCCGCCGGGACCGTTTGCTGAACTGAAACCATTCAAGGTCACGCAGACAGAAGGCAACGGTTCCGCTAGAAGCAAAGAGAGTACGCTCGTTGATTCTGCACGCGACACCTCCCCTCATTCACAGACGGTCGAAGCACAGCACGAGCCAAAAGCACCCAGCTCGATACATAGCCATGATGCGGAACCTGAGCCGGAATATCCTACTTCGTGGAGGCTCACGCTGATTGTGGTTGGACTCTGTCTTTCGATTTTCTGCATGGCCTTGGTAAGTAGTCCATTCCGTAGGCAAGCGATCGTGCTAATGCTATCAGGACAACACGATTCTGGCGACTGCAATCCCCAAAATTACAGACCAATTCCAGTCCCTCGGCGACGTGGGTTGGTACGGCAGTTCCTACCTCCTTACAACGTGCTGCCTTATCCTGGCCTTTGGCAAGCTGTACACTTTCTACTCCACCAAATGGGTATACCTGATGGGGCTCGCGATCTTCGAGATCGGTTCTCTGGTCTGTGGTGTGGCTCCCAACTCGGTTGCGCTGATTATCGGGCGGGCGATAGCTGGCCTTGGGGCCGCCGGAGTCTTCTCAGGAGCCATGATCATTATCTCTCAGACTTCACCGCTGAAATGGAGGCCTTTCCTTACCGGCTCTATTACCTCCATGTATGGAATCGCCAGTGTAGCAGGGCCCCTGATGGGGGGTGCGTTTACCGATCATGTCAGCTGGCGATGGTGTTTCTATATCAACCTTCCCATCGGCGGCGCAACCATCTTCTTCATCATGCTATTCTTCAAGGCACCCAAATCAGTCAAGAGTACCCAGGGGCTCAAGGATAAACTCGCGCAGTTTGACTTGCCTGGTACATTTGTCTTTCTGCCCGGAGTCATCTGCGTCTTGCTCGCACTGCAATGGGGTGGGACCACTTACGAATGGGGTAATGGCCGCATCATCGCCCTGCTGGTGTTATTCGGGGTCCTCATTGGTATATTCATCGTGCTACAGATGTGGGGTAACGAGAAAGCCACGATCCCTCCACGGCTGATCAAGAACCGAAATGTTTGGGGTGCTGCGCTGTTCAGCTTCTGCGTCGGCGGTTCCTTTTTCGTGGCAGTTTACTACGTACGTATCCCACCACCAAACTATCCCAGTAATCCACTAACATCTACAGCTCCCCATCTGGTTCCAAGCCATCAAAGGCGTCAGCGCCACAAAATCCGGCATCATGAACCTGCCCATGCTACTCAGCGTTGTTATCTTCTCCATCGTAGCAGGCGGCTTGGTCTCCACATTTGGATACTACACCCCATTCATGCTGATATCCCCTGTTCTCATCGCCGTCGGCGGCGGCCTTCTCTCCACCATGGGCGTGCATTCCTCGGCCGGTCACTGGATTGGATACCAGATCATCTTCGGCATGGGCGCAGGCCTGGGCATGCAGCAGCCGATGATGGTGGTTCAAGCAGCGCTGAAAATCGCCGATGTTCCCAGCGCGACGGCCATCGTGGCGTTCACGCAGACACTGGGCGGAGCATTGTTTGTCTCTGTAGCGCAGAACGTCTTCCAGAATGAACTGCGCAAGAACCTGGCACAGGTATCCGGCATTGACCCTGCTTCTGTGATGCAGGCGGGAGCAACGATGCTACGACATGTTGTATCTGCGGACCAGCTGCCGGCCGTGCTAGAGGCGTATAATGGGGCTGTGACGACGACGTTCTATGTTGCTGTAGCCATGGGAGCGTTGAGTATTTTTGGGGCATTGCCTATTGAGTGGATATCTGTGAAGGGAAAGAAGATCGGGCCGCCGGCAGCGTAGTCTGCCAGAAGCTATGGGTTTGAATGCATGTGATTACTTATAAATTGTATAATGCTAGTTAAGCGACAGACAGACGATAAATAGATCTAATAAGGAAGAAATGATGGCCAAGACGAGGTATCACGCTGACAGACAAATGAAACAACGAAACGAAAGATTGATCCATACCAATCACACACATCACAACTCTAATAACGCAACAGCAACAACAGCAACAAAAGTAGTGAAAGAAATAGAGAAAGAAAGAGAAAGAGAGACTAAACAACAGCATACAAACTCAAATACACCCCCCAAATCACCCCACACGCACTCCCAAACACGACGCGCCGATCCACCGGCACAACCGTATACATGAGCAACGAGACAATCGGTCTATATTTGAGTCTTGCGATCATGATGGGTTTGAAGTCCTACACATAGAGTTAGCCCCCATATCACAAACAAAACATAACAAAACAGAGTAGAATAGAATAGAATGAAATAGAGAAATAAATGAAAGAGAAAGATACCTCAACAACCAACCCCCAAACACCACCCACCCCCACCCCCTTCAACAAATTAATGAGAACAATAAACAGTACGATATTCCCTACACTCCCCACCGTCTGATCCAGTAGGAATTTCATGAGGAAGTTGTACCAGCCTCCTCTGCTGCGCCTAGGGAGGAATTTGCCGTTTGGCTTTTGTTTCTTCTCTTTGAGGAGGACGGTGGATGTTGGGTCCGGGATGGAGATGTAGATTTCTCCTATCCCTGGACCTCCTTTCTTTCCATTAGGGGTAGATGTTCGTAGGGGAGGGGAAGAGTTAGTAGATGGGGATTGCCGGAAAGGAAACCCCGGATACCGCCGTTCAAGATACCTCTGCCAGATGAAATTCGGGGGAACGATTATTATCCCGTAGGTGATGAATTGGAGGAGGGCGGGGAGGTTAGGTGTAAATGTTGTTAATTTCTTGGATTTTATTTAGTATTTTGTCTTTTATTTTGATTTTGAATGTTGGGTTATATCTGGGGGTCAAGCTTACGGATTTCCGATGATGGTCTATTATTTGTGCTAGGATGTTGGCGATGGCGTTTAGGATGGTGGATTGGATGAAGGTTGTTGTTAGGGGGGAGACCATCTTTCTCTATCCCTTCTTTTTCTTTTGTTTTAGGGGGGTATTTGGGGTAGTTGTTTGCGGGTTGTTTTAGTGAGGGGAGTGCAGAGGAAGGGTCCTTGTTGTTGTTGTTGTTGTTGTGGTTGGTTTAAGGGATGGTGATGATGGGGTTAGGTTAAGGAATGGACATGGTTTGATATCATGTATGGCAGTTGGGAATAAAGTTTAGTGATGAATGAGTATAAAGAATAAGAATAGTATAAGGTTAGTTACCTGATTAAAGATTAAATGAATGAATAAGGTGGGTATGATATTGCATTCTCATCCCCATAGTCTTGGGGTGATATGTTCATGCAGTGTGGGCACGTGTCCTTTCTGGCTTGGTGTCTTACTATTTCCTGCCATCTTACTACATACAACATTTACAATAGACCGAGCACAGTAGATACAGATATAATTTAAATAATAATAATAATGCTATTTAGCTACTTACACACGCGCCCGTACAATCACATCCGGTCCTTCCTTCGCACTGGTAAAATGGTCCACCAATGCCAAATGCCCTCCCTCATCCTCTCCTCTCCGATCGGCCAATTCCATATCAAACAAAAACATCAACCGCGCAATCGTCAATCGCATCTCCATCAACGCCATGCTCTTCCCAATACATCCCCGCGGCCCAATACTAAAGGGACAGAATGCCCGCCGCGCCATCTCCACATCCTCCCGCGTTGTCTGCCACGCCTCCATCCCCGTCTGACAGATCGCCCCTTCGATCCACCGCTCCGGCAAATACACCCCGGGCTGTCGGTAATAAGCCGCCTGCCGGTGGATCGAGTACGTTGGCGTCCCGCAATCCGTCCCGCCCGGCAGGAACACCCCGTCCACCACCGCTCCGCCCTCCATCACTTCGCGCGGGGGCGCCCCGGGCACCGCGGGCGCCAGCCGCAGCGCCTCGTCCAGGCACGCCTTCAAGTACACCAGCTCGTTCAGCTTGCTGCCCGTTACGATCTCTTCGACCGAGGAGAAGCTCTCCCGGACCTCTTTCTGCAGCTGCGCCATCGCATGTGGGTTGCGCACCAGGTAGAAGATCGTCGCGGCTAGCGTCGTCGACGTCGTGTCACTGCCCGCGATCATCAGCACGTTGGCCTCGCCCCAGAGCTCAGGGGTCGTCAGGCCCTGGCCCGTCTCGGGATCCCGGGCGTTCAGCAGGTAGTAGAAGAAGTCTCTTTTGGCGTCGTGGCCGGCCTTGGTACGTTCCTGGGCGCGCTTGGTCGCTTCCACGCGCGAGTTCATGATGAAGTTCCAGCGGTCGTTGGTGAGTCGGTGGATGAAGAGTTGGTCGAGATGCCATCTATCTAGGGGCATCCAGAGACCACACTGTTCTGTCAGTTGATTCGGTTCTCAAACAACAATAGCAGCTCGAGACATACCACATAGTGCCGGTTTGCAGCCCGATCGACGAGCTCAATCAGCCGTCTCCGGCTACTCTCGATCAACATGTCGAAGCTCTTTCCGAAGCACAGCTCGCCCATCACATCATACGTGAGGTAGCTGAACCAGCGACCCATGTCCTGCACCACGCCTGTCTGCTGGGCACGCGTTAAGCCTGCACACAGTTGCCGCACATGCAGCAGCATCACGTCTTCCATGCTCTTGAGTGCATGATCCGAAAAGGCCTGGCTCAGGACTCGTCTTTTCCGGCCGTGCATGACCTTGTCAATGACGTTGTGTGTGTTGTACACGCCTTTGATGGCGGGGAAGGCATTGTAAAAATCGGCCTTCTTGAGCCGCTTGCCGTGTCCGTAGATATCATGAAGGCCTTGAGCAGTATTCACTGAGACAAAATTAGGTGCCACGCGGACGTGAGAGCCGTATTGTTCGTGGAGAGCACAGAGCCACAGGTGTCGGTCTCCTTGAAGGCCATGGTAGAGCTGGACCCAGGGAGTGAGGGAGGCGAGCAAGGGACCTGGGATGCGGCGGAGAGGGTGGAAGAATCGATTGTAAATTGCATAGACAGAAGACTGATGTTGTCAGCATGCATTGCAAGTATGCAAGGTGACACCTTATCGACATAATACAGAAGGTGTAAGGGAGAATCGGTATCAACATACCAATCCCACGAGCAAGGCAAGCAACCCCCACCCTATGCGGGTTATAGAGATAGCCTGCCAGCCAATTTGGGCCAACATGGCTATCGAATCCTAGTGTAATAATGTGTGGTGCTAAGAGGTGGAATAATAATAGGAAGCTGAAGTATATAGTTCAGCCAGTCAACGAGCACCGAAGCTAGCCGGGGCCAACCGAGGCCGAGTTCGACCAAAAAAGGAGATCCCCGCAAGCGGATAACAAAGACAGGCAAATGACGACAGTCACTCAAGATATCAGAACCACTATCCAGATGGCTGTTTCACTTACAAGACACTCACTGGCACTCGAGACTCGTCTACCGTTTTATAACTCTCGCTGGCTCGGTTACTGACGGGCTTTCCCTCGCGTCTTCTGCCCCTCCATCCCCTCCCTCCCTCCTCATTTTGGAGTACGAAGTGTCTTCCATGGAACTATGTAATATTCATCGATTTAGCGCAATAGCTGCGAGGATGCGTCATCGTGGCCAGCACCGGCTGGTCTGCGTATCTACATAGTGAAGTCCTGGCTCGGGTACCCCGGCTGCTTCATATCTCTACACTGTATATGAAGATTAGTAGCTTTGACCGCCGATCTGGTGGAACCCATCAGTCGGATCTCGATTGGTAATGTTCATGCTAAGATTGATGCTGTCATTCCACGTCGTGTAGACCGTCGGAGGATATATAACCACTCCTGCTATGTGTCTTGTCTTCTGTCGCGGCGATGCCGATGGAGCATAGCTTATCGATCCATGTCAGAGCGGTAGTATTTCCTGGAGATCGTGGCCCAATCATTGCTTGCTTCTATTGCGGGCTTTATCGGACAAAGCTAAGCGAAGTCTCGGGCTTGTTGCTACCCACTGTATATGCACTAAAGCATCGGCTACTGTTGTCCGGCTTCCAGACAATGTAACCAGCCAGTTCGGATAAGCTATTATGTCAAATGCCTCTCATGTGTAACCGTGGAGACCGCCATCGAGAATCCACTGCTCGTTGTCATCATTATCGTCCTGCACCCTCCGCCATGTCTGTTTCCGCTCTTTGCGTGCCGTGTCCGCTTGCTCTCCGTCTGCCGACTTCCAGACCGGTCGCAACAGCCCTCCAGCTGCAAGAAGAGGGTTGTAGCTGAACGCCTTACCGCTGCTTTCTCGGTTCTCCCCATCTCCGAGCTCCTCCTCTGCCCTTGCTTCGGCTTCCTCCTCCGCGGACGGGCCCGTCTCCGCAGGCCCAGCTGATTGGTAGACCCTCCTCACCTTTCCTCCCTTGATATCCAGACTCATGATGGTCTTCTTCTTCTCCCATTCTGGCCGTGCTTTTTCCTCCATTTCCCGCATAATCCGCTGCTGTTTCTTAAGGGCCAGTGCTCGCTGCGCGGGTGTCATCCACAGCGTAGATGCTACGTTCGGAGTCTCAAAATCTGCCGCCTCGTCCACCACACGTGTCCGCTTGGCGTTCTGCGCCTGGAACGCAAGCAACTTGTCCCGATGCGCCTTGGCAGCGTCAAGTTTACTGGGAGCTCCTGAGCCCATTCCAGGGCCACCCTCCCGATGTACACTCTCATTGTGCGCGCGCATCTTCTCCTGTCCACGCTCCGCCCGCAGCTCCCGTATCATGCTCTGGATCTCGTCATTCGACAGGAGAGGTGTTTTGCAAAATGAACACGGCTGTAGCCCTTCCAGCGAGCAAATGATTTTGCCGCAGTTGAGACAATTCGGCGCAGGATCAAAGAGGGGATGGATGCTAGCGTTGCATGTGCATTTGCGTGCGCCACCACTCAGCGTCGGATTCGTAGATACCTCCAAAGCGGCAATGGCAGCCGTCAAATCATTTATATTATTCGTAGTCAGCGATCCCTTGGACGATGAGCCGGTCCCCGTACTGCTTCCACCAGCTCGAGAGGCAGACTTGGCCGCCTTCGACCTGACATTCGGTAGTAGATCCGAGATCACGGGGCCAGCGGCTGAAGGCGGGTTTTTAGCCGGTGTCGGTCTCGGGGCCGGTGATTGATTTCGCGAAGAGGTAGCGGATGCCTCGCGGGAGGAGATCAACGGTGATGGTGATAGACCGGTATCCAGTGTGCCTTCTCTCGCGCTTCCTTCTTGTCTGCTCCGGCTAGAGACGGGCATGTAGTCCTCATCCTGGTCCTCCTTTCTGTATCCGCCTGTCACATTTCCAAAATTGTCTGGTCGGCGAACAGGTCCGGCGCTGTGTAGTGGTGGCTTCGACTTCTTGCCCCTCTTCGACTGCGTTCCCGAATGATTGTTCCTAGATGTGGACTGGCCGCTCGGAGCGGGTGACGGCGCGTTGGATCGTGGGGGTGGTTCTCGTCGCGAACTGAATGCAGAAATGAATTCGAATGCGGCGGGAGAGTCGCCCAGAAGGTTTTTGAGGTGTTCGGCGCCTTCTTCTTTGGAGAGGCTGGCGGCGTATGTGATGATCTGTGTGAGCGACTCCTCGTCCAGCGGGAGAATTTGGCTCAGCCTGGGGACGGCCCAGGAGATGAGACTGGTATTGCTCATGTCACTAGATAGTTAGAGGCTATAGATATTGTTAGCGACTGAGTTAACTGATGCTCATGGTGGATGCGCGTCATAAAATGTGGACGATGGATCGAGCAAGCGGGCCCAACGATGACGGACGGAAGGTCCCGAAGTGGGCTGCGAGGCCATACTTTTCAGGCCAACAACATTGTATACTAGCCTGCAACCACGAGCTTTCGAGATACCACAAATAAATTGGGTGTATCGCATAATAAGTCATTTTTATATAGTATTCAGGCCAGTTTCAATAGAGCTCACATCCAAGGCAAAACAATGTCCAAACATCTCTATGGAACAGCTCTGCCCAGGATAGCAGTCGTCCAACACGCCATGAAGTCTACGAGGTTACACCTTGTACTCTTATCTGGAAGCCACTTTTCATGTACACGCATTAGTGATAGGTTCGAACTAAGGCTATTATACCACGGGGATCACTGGGGTAGATATCGAACAACCGTTACAAGGGCACTTTATAGAACTCCTCT